GTGTACAAACAATAATATAATAATCAATGAATATTTCGTGCATATTTGTAAATATATATATATATTTTTTTTTGCATATTTTAAGCGCTTAAACGTTTTTCGTGCAATTAAATAGCGACTAATATTATATTTTATTTCTCATATGGCAAGCTGGTGAAAGCGGTCAAAAATTCTTTCTTGTTTTGCCTTATACAAAATCGTGAGTATTTAATTAGATTTGCAATTATAATTTGCGGAATTTGCTTTTGCTTCGCTTGCGTTTTCAATTGGGGCACTCATTATGGCAATAAAAAATAAAATGAAATAAAACAAATGCATTTACAGTTGAAGTCCATACGCAACCATAAGTCTTGCATTCTCGCGGCAATTCTCTTTCAAGCAGCGTTTCGCTGCTCGAGATTTCAAGTGCAAAGCATACGCGCCGAGCACTTGTGAAAAGTTTGAAAACTACTCCAGCCAACCCCCCCCCCCCCACCCCCACCCCACCCCTTCCTTCATTTGCTGCAGTCGCTCTATTTGTCTTGGCTGTCGTCGTCGTCATCTTTATCACTGTCTGGCACTGCTTCTAATTCCTCTTCTTCTTCTGCGATAGTTGACGTTGAGTCATTAGAAGCGCTAACAAGTTGGTCAAGTTTTCCGTCGCTTTTAGCTTTATTTTTTTCAATTCTCAGCTGGAACTTTTGTGGTGCTTGCAGCAAATAATTTACCAGCTAAAAAGCAACGCAGAACCAAAATTGAGTTCAAGAATAATTTCAGTCATTTTTAATGGATACACAAAAGGAAGAATCAACCGATCCTTTACTTGAGACGCACACTTGATTTATTCCACCAAAGTGTTTTTCTTGTTTCCCTCTTCTTTTGTTCAATAGTATTAATTCTTATTGCTATGTGAATCTGCATTTTTATTTTGGAGTTTGATATTGGAAAAACAAATAAGCATAAATTATATTTTAATTAATCAATTGCTGTTACTTTTTTGTTTAGTTCCAAGAGCAACAACCAAATAACCCACACAAAAGCGAGTATTATCTATCTGATACTCTCTTTATCTCTATCTCGCTGGCTCTCTCTCTCTCTCTCTGTTACTCTAATTGAGGTCAAATGCGCCACATATCAGCGACTGAGCGGAGCAGAGCTCAATAATCCCAATCTCAAGTCCAAGCCAAGTCGGCTCAGACGCAGATGCCTCTCCCGCTCTCTCGCTCGAGTTTAGCCCCGATAATTACAAGTATATTTATACATATACATATACATACATATGCATTATATATACATATACATATATATGAAATATGCATTTCATAAACTTTTGATCGAAGGTTAAATCACTTAAATGCGCACTATCCAAATATTTAATCACTTAATTATGAACATCATTCACGACAGACTTTAGAGACCCAGATGTAGACATATTTGTACATGTGTATGTATGTATGTTTGTATGTAATGTTTACACAGCTGAATGTTGGCGTTTGATGATATTGTTGTTCTTATTTACAATGAATGCAACAGCTGTTAACACGATGCAACACAAATTCTTTGCATTCAATACAAAATTGAATTCCCTTGGCCAGCAATTACTTAATCGCAATGGTTTTGAATATAATTAATGATGTACAAAAGTTTGTAATTACATTCACACAAAATAGGTATTAGTATATTCCTCAAGCCGATTCGACATAGCTCTGTTCGTCTCCGTTAGTTTAAAACCCATTCTGATGAAACTTGAATGACTGTCTATATATATACATATATGTAACGAGTAGTTACAGTGGGATTACAGTGCTGATGTGTGGCAACGCTGGTTAACAGATCTAACAGCAGTGTTAGCATTAATCGTAGAAGAAGAGCAGAACAAGGAGCTGAGTTCGTGAAGCGCAGCGTTAAGATCATCAATAAGAAGTCGTCAAAGCCCCGAGTACCTAAAGTTGTAAAGTTGTCGGTGCTTCGAGGAAATAAGTCGTTGTTTTATAAAGTCGAATACGAATCGATAACATCAACAACTCATTCAATACTCTCTGTAATACACTTATAACTATTATATTAATAATAAACAGAATATAAACAGTTCTACATATATACTATATAACTGAGATAGGAATCTTATATTTATAATATATATAATCTATCTATTAATCTATGGTATGATTTACTAACCATAAATCTGATTTTATGGCATTGAGTTTTTACTGAAGTGTGCAGCAATGCTGTTTGTAAAAATACGATAAATCATAGATTTAAAAGTAGAAACTTAAAGATCTTTGTACTGTGACACTTTCTTATTTTCTTTTCATTTTTTTTTTTGGGAATTAAACTATAGCAATAATACCGAATGCAGCAGTGATTAGAACCATTTTTTTTTGTTTTCCGACTTTTTAAAAGTGTAAAATCAATTACACAATAGCAATAAAATACAAAATGTAAGCGACTTGCCAAGAATATATTCCAAGTATTTTTGACTCTTGATTTTCTAAGGAGGTTCGTCCGTTGGCTATAATGCCTGGACTTGATTTGTGTCTCTTTGTAAAGCTGGGGCGAGAGTTCATTGTGCTATTTACGTGACCATTGCATATCTATCTAAATCTAATTAGGCTAATTTAGTAAGAGTTTATTGATTTCACCATTTGAGTGCAATTGGCTAATTATAGGTTTAGAGTGCGTGTCAATATTAATAGAGGGATTTAAGCTCACCCTCGTATCTAAGTATTTCTGCAGTAAACTCGCATTCAAATTAATTCAATTAATCATTTTAATAAAAAAAAAAAATAATAAAACAAAAACAACAAACTCTAAAATAGGAAATGTTTTCCACATGCAGTAGAAAAATTACAATTTTTATTCACAATTTAATTAGTATTAACATTCAATAATGTGGTAACGCCAAGATACCAGACTGCTTTCAAATATGAAATATTCAATGTCAAAGGGAGGACATACAAACATGAATATATATATATATATATATATATATATATATATATATATATATATATATATATATATATATATATATATCTAGCATAGCTAGCATTGTAAATATATATATCAGCTATGCTAGAAAATATATACATAATTAATTTGTATTCTCACTTAACAGTTGAAGCCATAAACCTACACAAACAATTATTCCCCAAGGTCCTATTGTATTCGCTAACTTATGAATCCCCCGTAAGCCAACAAAATATAGAGAAAAAAAACATTACTGCTTGCTGTCTACGGGCGCAAAGGGAAAGCCCCAAAAACAAAAGAACATCATTAAAAACCAAAAGCAAGAAACTACAGGCTATGGTGCAACATTTAGAACAGCCACAGCCACTGAATGAATATGGTAATCAGAGATAAAACCACAGACAAACAGGCAGACAACAAATAACAACCTAGAAATGTCAATAGAATAAGGCAGAAGGTAACTGAAATAACAACAACTGCTTTGCCAGCCTACAAACAGGCGGAGACAGGACAGAAGGCCGATATCTGAAATGACTATACATACACAGGTATATGTCACTATCTGTATGTGCGTGTGTGTGTGTGTGTTTGCGTAACTTAACTTTCCGCTTCCTTACAATAGGCTAGCATCCATTTTAAAATTTCATTCAGCCCTCGAGCGACTGTCGCCTGCCAGCCAAGAAATCGCATTACAAAAGTTGATATAGATATATAAAAGCTCCCCCAAATAGTGCCGAAATATAATCAAATACAAAAAAAGTTTAAATAGAAATGCCATTTGCTAAAAATAACAATGTTAACGGAACAACAAAATGAAAACAAAAAGCCATATATATAAATATATATACACATATTACACACATACACACAAATAATAGTTGCGACTCTTAGCGTAAAGAGGAAATCTAAAAGAGAGCATCGATTCCTTTTCACACATACACACACACACACACATATATACATATACAGTTATAAATAGTAGAATATTCAGAGCATACAGGTGGGTATCGGCAATTTTTACTAAGTGACCACAATGGCGGCTTTTTTTGTTTCTATTTTAGGGCCAAATACATTTAGCATTGAGTAAAATAAATACACATAAATACGTATATGTATGTGTGCTAAGAAACTTGGACGTCACTAGTTGCTATATATATATATATATATATATATTCTTGAAGTCATATTTAAGTATGTCTGCTGTACAATTGCCAATCACATAAGAAAGCTGAGTTGCAGTGTTGCCAACTTGTTGAATTTTATTGTTGCCAGTATTTAAAAACTTAAATTTATAGCTGTACAACATTAAATTAATCTGTAACATTTTCATATTTATAACATTTTAATATCACAGAAAAAAGTAAACTAATTAAAAGAAATAATTATTTAAGAGTATTCGATATTCGGCATCGCAAAGTTTGTTATTGTTATTGTTGTCTTAAATTATCTAATCGGCAAACATTTTGTATATTTTTCAGCAGCAGCAGCAGTCTGATAACACAATACATACTGAAAGAACATATTTATAAATCATAATAATGAACGTTTTATAACGTTATTTAAGTTTTTTTTTTTAGATAAGAAACAAGAGTTTGAGAACCTTTCACATGATCACATCGCACTTGGCAGTGTTGCTTCGTTTATTAATGGACGGGTTTTTTTTGTTTTCTTTTTTTTTGGTAATCTCAGGTGCAAAAGGAAAGGCCGGAAATCGAAGTTCAATCGAATATTTGTGGAGATGATTAGGAGTCTTTATTTAACTGGGTTCGGGACTGATGTTGATTTTGAATTATTTAGAGCGCCTTTCAATGTTGGCTCAAAATATCCATAAGCAATGAAAAATAAATATACATGGACAATACATTGTCTGCTTAGTGATAGCACACAATTTTCAAAAGGGAGCAGGAACCGAACAACAAACAATTTAGGCCTGAAAAGCTGTCATGAAGACAAACCCTTCTGTTGATGGTTATGCTTCAAAATATATGTGTGGATTTGTTGTAAGAGTTTTGTTGGATGCATTTAAATTTCGGGGTTGATTCAATACTCACCTAGCTTGCCGCTCGCGTCGTTGCATGTTGTTGTTGTTGCTGATACTGGTTAGTGAGAAATATTCGGCAGGCTCTCTCGAATTTTGAGTGAAAAACGCAATCACTTTCCACAGAATTTTGAAAGATAATAAATGAAAGTAATAGCAACGGCTATAGTTGGTTGTTGATAAGATTGATCCGAATCCGAAAAACGTTGTCGAAGTTGAAATGCGAAATTTAGCTGCTCTGCTGCTTCACAAACTGTTGAATGTGTGTGTGGGACTTTACTTTTTTGTTGTTGTTGCTGCTACACACACACACACTCACGCGCGCACTCACACACACACACACACACTCGCACACACACACACACACTCACTTAACGTCCGCGACTGCTGCGTCACGCATGCGTCCACAATGCATACGCCAAGCAGCTTCCACTGTTGCACTCCTCTGCTCCGCCTCTCCTCTGCACTACTTGTCTGTTAGGCTGCTGTTAACTAACAGTGGTTACACTTTGTGTTTGATTGTTGTTGTGGATTTTGTTATTGTTATTATTATTGATGTTGCTGTTTTTGTTGTTGTTGGTGTAGATATTGGTGTTTAATGTGCTACTGCTGTCGCTTGTCATTTAAGTATTTAATTTGAGCATTTCCCTTGGTACTGTTTTTGTTTCAGAGTAGTTATATTTGTTGTAACTTGTGCGCTGGTTTTGCTTGTCCGGTCTGTCGAAATATTATTATTGTTGTTTATTGTAATATTGTTGGATGAAGAAAGGCAGTTATGTTCTATTTAGTACTAGGTAAACAAATAATTTTGGCTAACAATTTAACAAACACACTTTTGCACATTTTTCCCCCACAAAATTTCAAACAATTTTCGTAAAGTATGATTTGACGTATTTGGCTAATGTTACGCCAATGTGACACACATTCACACACACACACGCAGAGCAGCAAACAACAATTCTTCTATTTCGAATGATTATTGTTATTATTATTATTTGTGGATCGTTGGATCGTGTAGTCAAATACAATTTAACCGGTCATCAAAATCAGCTGCTCGTATTTGTATTTGGCGCGCGCACGTTGAATGAATGCAATTGGTGTGCTGCCTTTTTTGTCTCGAGGCTGCAGCAACACTGTTGCCTGTTTTGTTACTGTTACACCTTAAGGCCGACCCTGCTGCTGAAAAGGTATCAAAATAAGCAAACAAACAAATCAAGCATTGCATTAATTTCATTTTTTTTTTTTCAAACTTCATTCAAATTGTATTCTAAATGTGATTTTTCCTCTTCTGATCGCTAAAATATTGCTAACTTTACGTGATTCCCACAAAGACTTTTATTTTCTATATTATATTGTTTCAATTAACACAATATTAAAAAGAAAAAAAATGAATAGTGCAAAATGTAGTTTGGTGTGGCTACAGAACAGTATTTTGTAGTATATTTGCTTGCTCTGAAACGGTCACACTTAAAGCTGAGAGGGCCTGTCTCACATACAATTTTTGCCCATTGATTTTCGTGTGCCTGCCTGTCTCCGTTGCGCACAATTGCTGCAAATTGGTTTGTTTGTTAACAATATGTGTTAAACAATAATATTGCAAGCAAGCAACGACCAACAATTTGCGCACTGAACCTCTGAGCTTGCCCTTGACAAAAGTTCACTACGAAAAATAGTAGTAGCAGCAGTCGCCGTTGCGAAGGAAGTTCATCAAAATTAGGCCAATTAGTGCGTATACTTTTTGCACCTAGGGCAAAAATGGTTCATGCTTTTTTTTTTTTTGAAAACCAGAAGGCCACACACATAATGAAAACTAAATTTGTACGTGATTTTTTTTTATTTCATTTGCTTTTTTTTTATGCTTTTGCGGCACGCAAAAGTTTCGTTTTTTTTTAGTTTTACAGGGTGCACAATTAACTGTTCGAATTTGGCCATATTTCTGTTCACTGCCAACGCGTCATTTGGTTTCGTTTGTAATTGAACGTCTTAGAATTAAATTCAGTGGTTTAACATTTGTTTCTTTTTACCTTTTCGACAATTTTGCACACATATTTCTCACCTACGCCTCATTTTTCATTGCTCACACACACACACGCGCGCACAAATACATTTACACGCGCACACACACACTAGCGCTTTTTCAATTTCTGCAGTCGGATTGCGATTTTTATACAAATGTATTTTGTGGCGTGGTTTTGCTCGCTTTTGTGTTTGCTGCTTTTGCTTTCGTTACTCTTGAGCAAACACTATTTCAAACACATTTATGCGACTCTCCATTAAATTGTTTTGCAAAAGCCAAGCATTCGCAAGATAGCACGAGAAAAATGGAGCGACTTTTCCCCTGCCTTGCACACACACACACGCACAAATTGAACACTGATTCGCAATGTGGCTGTCTTGAAGTAGTGAGAAAATACCAGTTAGTTGACAAAACGGTAGAAAAGTGCTTTACCAATTTATACCAAAAATACCAAACACAAAATTTGCAACTAATTAGCCGGCAACTTGTTTTGAACTAACAAAAAATTGTCTTAAAACTCTACAATCGTTTGCCAGACGAGTTGACACACTTGTAAATGTTCTTACAATAAAATTTTGATATTACAAACCATCTTCCAACCTTTCATATAGCACAATCTGTATATATGTAGATATGTATACACCATGCACTCACGCAGTCAGCAACAAATGTCAGACGATGACTTGCGTATTTCTGAATCTCAAGTGTAACTGATCGTCACTATAATAACTTAAGTTAATAAACACCATTTACACATTTGCTACGCGAAAAAAAACATATTTTATAACTATTGCAAAGTCTGCTTTGTATTACTCCTCACCAGTGTAACCAGCTTTAATATTTTAATAATCATGTTGTTGTTGGGGATATGTCGATGTTCGATATATCGAACGGCTACCGCAATATGATTTCTATCGGAAGTTCACTTATTCGATATGCAGCATCCAACAAATCGATTAATTTATGGGGTGTTATTGTAACTATTGTTTTAAAATTTAAGCTTAAAAAATTATTTCAGCTACACAGACGTAATCTCGCCAGATTAATAAGCAATTCTATTACAAGGATTCAAGCTAACCATTAAAATCTATAGCTTAATATACTGACTTCATTAAAGACATTGTAGGTGATTCGCTAATTACAAAGCCGGAATGTACCAATGTGCACTATGTAATCGATAAGTAGTCGATAGTTGCGCGAATCCGGCAACACGTGCGGTCGACTGCACGCTGTTTATTTGTTCTTCAGATTGAATAAAAAAAAGATGGGTAAAATCAAAGCAAGTGGACAAAAGGCGGTAAGCTTGAAATATACTTAACTAACTACCCGAAGAGCAACTCTAATAGTGAATGTCAACTGCAGTCACGCGCGCCAGTCGCAAAATCAATTGATGACACGATGTTGGATGCCACCGCAATTGTCACCAGTAGCGACGATGGCTTCCATGAGCCAAGTCAAAGCCCAGCACAGAAGCGCAAAGCACAGGCGGCCAAAGGCGAGGGGAAGCCGAAGAAATTCAAGACGACAGAGGCGAGCGTTAAGCCGCCAACACTGGAAGAAATTAAGGAGCTGCGCGACACACGCAATCTCTTCCATTCCAATCTGTTCAAGCTGCAGGTCAAGGAGATGCTGGAGGAACTGCAACTCAAGCCCAAATACAGTAGCTACATCGATAGCTTTCTCGAGACGTTTACGACGGCTGTGCAGGAGCTAGAGAACGCATTGCTCGACACCTGCCAGCTGGAGGTTCCCCTGCATCTGCGTAAGGAGAATTTGAACTTTAAATTCGTGACGCCAACGTCGGCGCCAATGTTGATTGGTGCAGCGGCCACAGGCACTCTGATGGGACCCAAATTTGTTGCGGATGTGGCACTGGAAATGCCTGCCGCATGCTTCCAAAAGGACGATCACCTCAATATGATTTACGACCAGAAGCGTGCTCTTTACTTGGCCACAATGGCCAGCAAATTGAAGCGATTGACCGAATTTGCATCTATTCAATTTGCCTACAATTATCATGCGAATAATCCGCTGAAACCGGTCCTGGAGCTAACACCAGCCGGTAAAATGGGGAAACATTTGTCAATACGTTTGTTTATCACGGCGCCAGAGCAGATCTTTAAGCTGAACCGCTTTGTGCCCAGCAACAACAACATTCGTCCATCGCTCTTCGGCGATGAATGGAAACAGGGCCAAACTTTACCCCCGACTCCGCACTACAATGCCAATGTGCTATTTGATCTGACACTGGCACAGAATCAGCAACTGTTGCTCGACTCCTTTGCGGATCGCCGCAATTTCCAGGACGGTTTACTGCTACTGAAAGTGTGGCTACGACAGCGACAGCTGGACATCGGCTACAGTGGATTCAGTGCTCACATTCTGGCTGCCTACATTGTCTACCTGAAACAGCAGCGCTTGCTGCATCAGTCCAGCAGCAGTTATCAGGTGGCCCGCACAGTCTGGAATCAATTGGCCAACAGCGATTGGACGCAAGGCATAACCCTCGCCCAAGAGCAGCCCCAACAGCTGAGCATGCTTGCTGGTCACTATGATGTGTGCTTCATGGATGTCACCGGCTATTACAATTTGTGCGCCAATCTACCGCTTGCTGTCTACAAGGCTGTTTGTGCGGAGGCCAAGCTGGCCGTGGAGCTCCTTAACGATATGAAAGTCAACAGTTTCACGCACATTTTCATGCAAAAATCACCGCTATACACACGCATGGACAACATGCTCAAGTGAGTTCAGTTACTATAATCATATATATAAATATATACTTATTTCTATTATTTTCTTTGCAGAATAACACAACCAGGCAGCGTGGATCAGCTGCTTCAGTTACATCTACAGCCGGATGTCAAGTATGATTATGCCAACAACTCCCATCCGCAATTGCTCAAATTGCTAACAGAGTAAGAATAGAGCTTCCAAAAAAAAAAGACTGGAAAACAACTCATCTTTTATCATCTTTCATAGATTGTTGGAGAAGGGTTTGGGTCAGCGGGTGCATGCCATTCTGCCTGTGGAGTTGCCCACGACGCCTTGGTCCGTCGACAGCCAGGCGCCCGTCATTGGTCGCTGTCTGCAGCTCGGCCTCATCCTTGATCCGGAGCATGCATACGAGGTGCTGGACAAGGGACCGGCAACCAATGAAGATGCCGCTGGTGCTGCCGAATTTCGTAGATTTTGGGGTGAAAAATCGGAATTGCGTCGCTTTCAGGATGGCAGCATTACGGAGTCAGTTGTGTGGGCAGCCGCAACGGATCCGCCCAGCCAGAAGCGTTTAATTGTGCGCCAAATCGTTTTGTATCTGCTCGAACATCAGCTACAGATGGAGGCCAGCGATGTGCAGTATCTCGGCGCTGAACTGGACATTGTCCACTCACTGACGCCGTCCTTCAAGGTGGCCAAGCTGCAGACGAAACTGCAACTGAAACAGGACACCGATGCGGAGGCACTAACACCACACGTCATCCACTGCTACGATGCGCTGGCCCGTCAGCTGCACTCGCTCGAGGATTTGCCACTGGATATCGTGACGATATCGGGTATTTCACCTATTTTTCGATATTGCGAACCACAGCCGTTGTTGCCACAGGCGCGTCTGGTGGCAGATCGCATGCATGCGAATCAGTTGCTGCATGTGATCATTCAGCTGGGCTCCAGCGGCAAATGGCCCAATGAACTGGGCGCATTGCGCAGCCTGAAGACGGCGTTTCTCATCCAAATTGGCAAGCAGCTGAAGGCACAGCATCGCCTCCACTGGCAGCTGGCCAAAGAGGGTTTGCTGCTGCTGAAGCAGGGCTATTGTTTCCTCTTGGAGCTGGCGCACACCAAAGAGCTGGCGCTGCTCAAGCAACAGCAAACGGAACGTGGCATCACCACCTATGTGGACAATCCGGCCAGTCGAGAGCTGGAGCGACGCCAATATATATTGCCTCGAGTCAATGGCGGACTGCATGCACTGTATCAAATGCATGGCGCCTTTGGCGCGACAGTGCTCATTGCCAAGCGTTGGCTGGCCACCCAGCTGCTAGACAATGGTCTGTGGCCAGACATGGCAACGGAACTGTTGGTGGCGCATCTCTTCCAACAGCGACAGATGCCACATACAACAGCCTCGCCACAAACGGGCTTCATACGCTTCCTTCAGCTGCTCGCTCACACCGACTGGAATGCGGAACTATTTCTGCTCAATTTCAACAACAGTTGGACGGGTAAGTCAGCTGAGATCTCCTCCATTTCATTTCTCATCGAATTCGAATTCGAATTTGGTTTTGCAGAGCAACAAATATCGGATTTGGGTCACAGTTTTCGCAGCGATCGCCAGAGCTATCCACTGCTGTGTCTGGCCACCGCCTACGATCAGCAGCACGCGGGTCGCCTCTGGACGAGCGATGAGTGCCCCAGCAAACCGGTTCTGGCTCGGGTCACTCTCTTGGCCCGTCATGCCTTGCAGCTGATCGAGACGAGACTGTTGTCCCAGAGACTGACATTTGTGCGGCCCGCGCATTTGTTTATGCCCTCTGGCGAGGGCTATGATCTAGTCATACAGTTGAAACCGGATCTGGTCTCGAATACGCTGTGCTACGATCTCGGTTCGCCATTTGTGCAATTCAGTCAGCGCAATTTCCGTTTGCCGCAGGCAGGCAGTGACCAGCTAGCCAGGATTGTGGAGCAACTGAGGGTATGTAAACATCGTCATAACGTGTAGCTATTAAGCTTATGCTGCTGAATCTGATAAATACCTCGTGTATTTTATCTAAGAGGGTTGTCTCAGATTCCTTTTTTTAAAAACAGCTTTGAAACCGATCTTAATTTGATCATATAACAATTTACCAAGCAATCGTGAGTTGCACATAAAATAGTTTAAAGTTAGGCTTTATTATTTCCTTAACTCGATAAATTCATAGGTAAATGATTTATATTTTTGATTGCTAAAATTCAGAAGTGCTCACTTGAAATTGTGACAGCTCCTTTAGATTAACTAGTTGGAAATCTGCCCTTTTTGGTTGATATTGATGAAGTTTGTATATGTCAGAAAATATTATATACAATAGTGTCTTTAATTGCTATCTATGGAATGAAATATACTTGATATGCCTATGTTGTAAAAGATCTTAGATATCAAATCTAATCGGCTTTTGATGCTAATCAAGCATCTATGATATATATATATATGAGATGGGCTCGTAGATATTCCCTTCTGCCTGCTGCATACTCTTGCACAATTTTATTGTACTTCCGTACCAATTTTGAATGGCTTCAAAGTTTAATCACATTTATTAATCAATTGTTTTATATGTCCGACAGGCGGCGTACTCCGATTTTGCGGCATTCTTTTACAATCCGCACGGCGGCAAGGAGTTGGCGATTGTTTGGCGACCCGCATCGGAATTCGCGCCGAAAGCCTTCAAGGTTAACGAGCTGCAGGCGTGCACGCCCTGCTCCGGCGGCAAGGTGCAGGTGTCGCGGGACATCCTGCTCGAGGATTTCAAGCTGCTGCTCAAAGACTTTTATCTGCGCGTCTGCACACCGGAGCAACTGAAGCGTGAGCGACGGGAACACACCGAACCCAAGCGCTATTTCAATCGCCCGGCCGAGGACGACACCAGCAAGCCGCAAAAGAAGCGAAAGAAACAGAAAAACGCGCCTCAAACAGATTCAAAGAAGCGTCTAATAAAAAGTAAATCGCTGAGTGCATTATGCTAACATTTAAGACTTTGACAAAGAACTAAGAACTAAAATGTAGATATTAAATACATAAAATCACTGATTCCATCCTTTTCTCAACTGAGCAAGTCAAACTGCATTGGCTGCTTTTTGATCAGTGCTTCCCTTTTGGCACAGACTGCATGCGCATGAGTCCTCATCGGTTGATGCCTGTGTCTTGATGGGCTCCGTGTTGCATGCCTGCGATGTGGTTTGTGCTTTTGTCTCCGTGGTGTTGCAGGCACATGAACTTTTCTGCTTTTCACCTCCACTTCGCCGTTGTTCCTTCTTTAGGATCTGTATTTCCGTTGTGGAAGTGGCGACGCTGTAACTAATTGGATATGGTGACGTCGAATTGTTTATCTTGGACCACCTTAGCTGGTTGGCGACATTGGCCACAATTCGGTGCGGTGTCTTCTGTAAATCATGCATCTCGACATCAGGGCAATCTTGACTTTGCGCAGGCAAGAAACCACCACCAAATGTTTGGGCGTAGGGAAAGATCTGGCCATTGGGACTGTAACGAGTGTAGCTCACATGGCGAGTGTCCTCGATGCGCCTTATGTCCTGCTGGATAAGCACGAACATCTCATTGCCCACCATAATGGGTACTAAATGGGAAGAACCATTCGCATGTGACAAGTATTATCAGAATTTGACGCTTACTTTGCACAACGGGCGCTGCCTCCTCGGACACTTGCATCACCTTCTTGACTGTTGGATTATAAATCATTTTTGGATTTGAAATTTTGTCTTAAATACAGAAACTGAGAACAACAATTTGGTTTTTTTTTTTTGTTTTTGCTTTTATTTACTACCTACAAACTGACTAAATAACCAATTAAATGAAAAAAATAAGAAAGAAACAGTTGACGCAAAGCATTCTATGTGGAAAACTATTCTAAAGGGAGTCTAATAAATAAATAGCATGACTCCTTTCCACAAATTCTTACTTAACAAAATTAAATATATCAAGTTGTTTTCGCATAAATGTATCATTTAAAATTACAATTAAATAGATGAGAAAATCATTGTCTTTTTTCTAGACATTAACTTTTCCTGCTTGGGCCTTAAGGTGGCCTGGTCAACCAGTTCTAACTGCGAATGGAATCGTCTTTCAGATTCGACGGGATCACGCCCGGTGTCAGTATATCCTTGTCCTTGTTGCCAAAATCGGGATACAGTTTAGCAGTTTGACCGATGGGTGTGCAAAGGCGTCCAGTGAAATCCAGTCGCTTACTCGACTGGCTGCGTTCCGCCGAGCTAATCATGTCAAGCAGCGAGCTGATTGAAATTGAAATGATTGATAATTGATAATGATAATTGAAATGATTATTAAATGAAATAAATTCGTTAGAATCTCCAACACCTACCGCTGTCCAGAGCTGGACATGCGTCGCTTGCTGGCTTTCAGTAAGCTGTTGGAACTGCTGCTGGTGCTGTTGGGTTCCAGTCGTTCGGGCGAAAGCGGCGATTCTGTATAGGATCGCAAGTGGGCGGCGCCTGGCTCGGATTTGTTGGTTACATCACCGTAGGCAGCGCGCAAGCTTTGCAGACTCTCGAGCAGATTCTTGTGATGCACCGTTTGCACGTTCAACTGAATTAGTTGCTCCAGCTCCCTGTAGAAAAGTCGGTACTGATCCTTGGTTTTGCTCATCTTCGGTCTGCAAATGTGCATTAAAAGTGATTAATTTATTTAATGTTAGCCGAAAAACCTTTAATTATTTGACTTTAATTTTCTAAAAATGTTGAAATTATCATTTTCAAATTGAGTACAGTCAGAAAATCTGCTCAAAGTGCATTTTATTGGTTTTATTTCCCATCTCATTATATTAATATTCCTTTTTCTACAGATTGCTACAGACTAATCCTTTTAATGCTGATAAAGAATATTGATAATATGATGTTGGAGATGTTTCATTCTGCCTTTTACATATCTTTGCAAAGCTTCTTAATAGTCCAGCCCATTTTTAATGAGTCCAAACAATTGAGGATCATCTTGAGGATACGAGGAATTTGAATTGCGAACTTACCGCGTATTATTTGTGTTGGTGAAGGGTAGCATGTCGCCGCGGGATGCGCTTTTGTATAGTTCATGGATCTGCTGTTGGCAGCGCACCTCGTCCTGCTTGTCCATATCCTCCTTGACGAGCAGATGCAGAAAGTGTGGCAGCCAGCTCAGCTGCCGCTGCAAATTGAACAGTATGGTTACATTCATGGTCCTGGGAAAGTAGCGTGGCAGTCGCCTCCATAGATGTTCGCCCTGCGACATTTTGCCCTTGGGCTTGGCTTTGAGGGGCACCATGCGTGACATCTTCAACAGCTGGCCCAATTCGGGTATGCGATAATCTGCGACACGTCCACCAGGGCCATCGGTGATCGAGGGCGCCTCATCCATAGCGGACCGTGCAATGGACAGGGAGTGCACAAAGATCTCGCCGCCACGAGCGGACAACATGTGACTGGTTGTCTTGGTGCCCGTTTTGCGTGGCACTTCCAGCAGCACAGAGCGTCCGTTCAGCAGAAAGTTGATCAGACAGGAGCTGGGACGCGAGGTGACATCGACGGGCGTCACATTATATTGGCCGACACACGGCTGCAGATCGGAGGAGCCACAGCCACGCGGCGTGCACCATTTCAGGGTAACTGTCTCGTAGGAGGTGCCCGGCTTTATGCTGGTGGTCAGCGTGAAATCCGGCCCACAGACTTTTGTGTGGGCGGCGCGTGCGTGCAATATTTCCACATCATAATTGGCACTGGAATTGGCATTCTGCTCCTCCTTCATGGGTATGTTGGTCACCGTTGTACTGGCCAGATCGTAATGTCCCATAATCAGATGCAAAAGCTTGTCCGATATGTTGGGCGCATGTACTGTGTGTATTTCCACATCCAGCAACGGTGATATTTCCAGCAGACTGCGATTCGTCACCAAGGATTCCACACCCAATGGAACTATGTTCAATATCACCAAATGACAATGATCTATGGACAGACCCTTCTTGCCAGGCGGCCCAACCAAAGCGTTTTGCTGCAACAGCACCGTGTTGAAAATGTCCTCCAAACCTATGCCAAAAAAGAAAATATATACTTAATATATTTTTATATTCATTTAATATAATTTTGTATGATTAAATGAGAATTAATGAACCCATTAAAAATGCCGATCTGCGGCTGGATCACAATTACATACTCTTCATGCTGGTATTATCCCGGGCCGATGTAATGCAGATGACACGACCCTCGTTGGAGATTTTCTTGCAGCCGACTTGAGCCGCTTGCAGTTGCTCATCTGTTGGCTCTGCCAGGGCCTCGATGGCAGCCCTCAGGCCATGTATGACCGAATAGTCCGAAGACTGTGGAATGCTGCGCGATGGCACGCTGACCATCATCATGGCGTTCGAGACGTGTGACATGTTCTGTGTGCTCGGGCTCCAGGTGTTCACAATGTGCGCAGCCGTATCGGAGACAATGAAGCGCACATGCTTTCTGCCCGGAAACAGATCCCAAACAATGCGACAATACTCGATGGACGACTCAACGGCGCAGGTCCACAAACTTTTGCTTAGCTGGGTGCCGACGCTGCTGCCCGCAGCCGGCGTCTCGGCGGGCATCGGCTTGCCCTTCAGATAGTCCATGGATATATACTGTTCACTGGATATGCTAAAGTAGCGAGTGTGGTCCAACACAAATATGGTTTTTTCATTGCGTTCAAACATGGTTAACCTATATGAATTTAAGCATGCAGCAAAGAGATGAATGTGAAAACGAAAAGCTGAACAAATTGTTTGTTTACAACAGCTGTTGCAATAGAGATGGGATAAATCATCCTCTTATCGGTTAAGTTATCGTGACTGTGAAGAACGATTAAATATCTTAGCTGAAAAAGGTCCGCTGTCACTGTTTGAACTTATGGGTTTATAATTAACATAGTTAAATGCTTATATATTTTTATAAATGATTTGTTATATTTTTGTGCTTTTAAGCAGTCCATGGCATTGTCATCGATATATTAAACATGACAGATATCATTCAGAAAGCTCACATAGCACACTGATAAACTAATTTCTCATTAACATATTTGTTACGTTTGCAATTATTTTTAAATGTATGCTGCAAAATAGAATGAATAATTTAAAATAACAGTCGATTAAATTGTATCGATATATTCACAAAGTGTCATCAAATATAGATACATATATCGGTAAGTGTTTCTTACATCACTACTAAAATCACGTTGTCGAATGAGGGTTTGAAAGAAGAAAAAACACACGCTCCCACAACACACATTTTGGAGTATTTCGTGCAAAATTACGTTTTGAGTGGGTGTCAACACAGTGAATTCAAATAACACATTGACATGTCTTGGTTATTGGGAAGAAATCGACAGCAGCCGGCGCCGGAGTTTAGCGGTGGAGCAGATGGAGGTGATAATCCAGAGGGCAAAACTGCCGGTGAACGTGGAAACGATGCTCAGCTAACAAAAGCTGAACGCAAGGCAATGGAGGCATATCGCTTTGATTCCTCGGCCCTAGAACGTGCAGCAGACGCGGCCAAAACCCTAGAGCGTTCAAGTAAGTGTGTGTTCAATAAGAATGTACATCAATTTCATCATCACTTGCGCATATTGCATAACCGATGCCATTGATTGTGTGTGCATACATATATATATATATATATATATATGTGTGTGTGTGGTTTTTTATTAATGTGTGAGTGACCTGTTGCAGAACATGCGCGGGAGGCACTGGAGTTGTCCAAGATGCAGGAGAGCACACGACAACAGGAATATAGCACCAAGGTTAAAGAATACGAGGCGCACATCGAGCAGGCCAAGGTGGAACAGAAGCGCATTGATCATGAGGAGAGGCGCAAAACGCTCATTGAGGAGACCAAGCAGCAGCAGCAGCGGGCCCAATACCAGGATCAATTGTCTCGCAAACGTTATGAGGATCAGCTTGTGCAGCAGCAGCGCGTCCAAGAGGAAAATCTACGCAAGCAGGAGGAGAGTGTACAGCGCCAAGAGGCCATGCGACGTCAGACCATTGAGCATGAGATTGAAATGAAGGAGAAGAACCGGCTCAAGCTGCTGGAGCACGAGCTGCGCGCCAAGGCTCGCGTGGATCGCGAGAATCGCGACCTCAATCTCGAGAAGATTCGACTGAAAGCACAAGAGCATCGCACCACAGTGCTGGAGGGCATACGGTAAGTTGTCATGCGAATTTCCGATTTCACCAATGGCTAATCACAATGCCAATGCCACAATTTACAGGACTGCTGGCGCAGTGTTTGGTGCTGGCGCCGAGGCCATGCTGACCGATTGGGATAAGGTGTTGACTGCAGCCGGTGGTCTGTCGCTGCTCGCCTTGGGCGTGTACACTGCAAAGGGTGGCACTGGTGTCATCTCGCGATACATTGAGGCGCGCATTGGTAAACCAACGCTTGTGGGCGAAACTTCACGTTTTGCGTTCCTCGACGCACTCAAGCATCCGGTGAACTTTATGAAGCGACTGCGCGCGAAGCCAACGGATGCGCTGCAGGGCGTTATCCTCAATCCCAAACTGGAGGAACGTTTGCGTGACATTGCGATCGCCACGAAAAATACGCGCATCAATCACGGCCTCTATCGCAACGTGCTGATGCACGGACCGCCTGGCACGGGCAAAACAATGTTTGCCAAGAAGCTAGCCGAGCATTCTGGCATGGATTTTGCCATTATGACGGGCGGTGATGTGGCGCCCATGGGCAAGGAGGGGGTGACGGCCATACACAAAGTGTTCGACTGGTCGCAGACCTCAAGGCGTGGTCTCTTGCTGTTCGTGGACGAGGCGGATGCTTTTCTGCGCAAGCGTTCGTCGGAGAAGATTTCGGAGGATTTGCGTTCGGCACTGAATGCATTCTTGTATAGGACATCCGAACAGAATCCGAAATTCATGCTTGTGCTGGCCTCGAATACGCCAGAGCAGTTCGATTATGCAATCAACGATCGTCTCGACGAGATGGTCGAGTTTACGCTGCCCGGTCTGGAGGAGCGCGAACGTCTCCTGCGCCTCTACTTTGACAAATATGTGCTGCAGCCAGCGGCAGCAGGCGCCAAGTGAGTTTCAATTACCATCTGATAAGTGGGCATAGTTGTTAATCAAACTGTTGTTCTGCAGGCGTTTTAAACTGGAATCCTTTGACTATGGCCAAGCGTGCGTTAAGATGGCTGCACTCTGCGAAGGCATGTCTGGCCGTGAGATATCCAAGCTGGGCGTCTCCTGGCAAGCCGCTGTATACGCCTCTGAGGACGGTACGCTTACCGAGAAAATGGTGCTCGACAGATGCACCGACGCTGCCCAGCAGCACAAACAAAAGGTGACTGCCAACAAATGATAAACCCATAAATAATACAATTCATAATGTGTTGTTGTATTTTGTAGATGGCCTGGTTGTCTGAGCAGGAGCGCGCTGATCATAAATCTATAACCGGTGGCTCGGCAGCCGCTAAACCTCCGCTGACACTCACTGCCAACAAACTGTGAGCAGGATTAGCTGGATGTATCTGTTGACTAGCATTCAGAAATTGTTTAGTTTTTAAAATGGACTTAGGATTAAGTGCAAAACGCCTCATTGGGTTCTTTAGGGTGTACATATATATATGTATATATACGTAGCATTGTGTGTCCAAATGCATTTACAATTGTACAAAAATATTGAAAGTCTTGCTGAAAGCAGAGATACAATTAAGTTTTACCTACTGATAATTGTATTTAACTATAGCATTGCATCTTAATTGTTACTTGTACAGAGTATATTTGACAGCCATTGCATTTGCAAATCCAAAGCTTTGTATGTAATCTTTAAAATTAATGCCAACTGCGAAGAGCAGCAATTTTCAACTGGTCGCGCCAGCACTGTGAGAGATTTATATTAAACTTCTCGCTGGCGTTGCCAAGAAATTCTACTAATTTGGCCAGTGTTTTCTAATTTGGCCAGTGTTTTCCACAGACGTTAATAATAATAAAAAAAAAAAACAAAACTGTTGATTGAATTTGTTTGAACTTAATATACAATTTTTTTATTTTTGCTCTAATAATAATGAAATAAATAGTAATGCATTTGTACGGATCACATAGTTGTTGCCTACAAACTAAACGTCGGGTAATATGGAGGCATCGGCATTACCGTAACAACCCATATCTGCCTTGTACAGTATCCGGTTAATATGGTATTGGACCGTGTATTTTGTGTTCCGACTGTATTTGCCAAACTTGTGACCTAGAAGCTGCAGAAAGCTAGCGTCATCGCTGGCCACTTGCATGGGATTGGCAATGGGTGTAGTCGTGGCTGGGTAACTGCTTCTACTAGCAATGGCATTCACTGATGTTGTCTCTGTGTCTGGAAAACTGGTAACAATAAATTGGCTCATATTGTTGTTGCCACCGTCTTTGTCGGAGAATGTTTCGCGGAAATCATGCAGTTGGCCAGGCGATTGCTCCAACTCATCGGGCAATTCCATCTTGACAATGTTGATGCTCTCGTACTGGCCATGGTCATCGAGTTCAATTCCAGGTTCGTTGAATTCCGATTTCATTAACAATTTCTGTGGCTCTGATACGAATTTAAACTTCGGTGATAGGGGGCCCGCATTTTGGGCCGCCGATCGTTGGAGCTGCTTTTGGCGCAACGCCTTGGCGTATGTGGACGGATGTTTGCGCTTCAGATGACGCATCAGATTCTCCGAGTGCCTGCCAGCCATATCGAAGTGACATACTGTGCATGTACTTTTGCGGATTTTATCGTTGTAAGTGAAATAATTGTCAACTGGATTTTTAGTACGCTTTAGTGGCATTTTCAAGGCCACTAAACTTGTGTTTCCATCTATTTGCCTGTTTAAGATCGAAAAAAGTTATCGATAATGAAAAAATCCATATAAAAAAACGGTGTAAAACAGGTCGCAGCATTATGTACAGCGGAATATTGATGCTCGGCTTTGAGACAGCATAACTGAAATCCACACTGTTAACTCACTGTTACCTTTGTGGATTTTGTGAACAGCTGTTCGACGGTGTCGATGAAAGTATGATAGTGTGTTCTTAATTTAAAAACACCAACTTTTGTTTTCGTCAATTTTAATTAATTAATTAGATTGCGCAAAGCGCTTTAATGGAAGACGCGCGAATTTTCCTGGGGCGGCGAGTGTGGGCGTGGTCTAAAAATGCATATGCCGATTTTTGACGAAGGCTACCAGAAAGCTACTTTTCAAGCTCGGTGATTCTATCTTTGAAATTGCGGGAGATTTGCGACTTTATCAATTTACACTCTCAGAAATATCGCTTTGGAGATTTTGGAGGGGGTATGGGCGTGGTCTTCCCATTTTCTTATCGATATTTAAGGGCGGTTACTTTCCAAATGATGGATCTAACTTAAAAACAGCGGAAGATATGCGATTTTTCTGGGCGAGGGGTTTGGCGACGTCGATGCCGATCTTTGAAGAACATCGCCAAAAACCTACAAAATACAGGTTAAAAAAAAATTTATTGGTAAACAAGTATTAAAAAGTATAATAAAAAATAAAACTAATGGTTCATAAACAGGAAACTAAATATGCATAGAAAATGCGGTTCAAATCTTTCTGAAAAGTAGCGAACACCCTTGCTTTTGTTTACAATGTATAATCAATTGAAAGATTGTGCCATAATAAAATATTAATAAAAAGCTTGCTCTCAAAGCTTTAGCTCAATTTGAAATTGAGATAAACACTAACTAGACTGCGGTGTCACGGTGATAGCAAACACATAATAGACTGACTCTCTCAAAAACTCAGAATTACCAACAACTATAATATCACTTAAAAAAGCTTCCAAGCAGAACAATAAATTGCGTTTTACACAAAATTTGGGCTCAGTATGCAATTAACTTCGAAACCAAAATGTTGGGGCAACGTTTAAAGATTCAACAAATAATACGCACAACTCTACCGATACAGCAGGTGTGTGTCACTACGATTAGTATATATGTACATATTTTTCATATCTGATCACACTTATGAAAATGTTCAGCGCCAGCAAACCAGTGCTGCTATATTAGATCATGAGACAGCCACTGCAAAGCCTGCGAATTGGGATTCGGCGCGCCCATACAATGAAATACCAAAGGCTTCCATGCTGAAATTTATATGTAATTTGATGCCCGGTGGCAAGTACAGTAAAATGGGACCCGCGGATATTATGTTGGATTTGCGGAACGAGCATGGCCCTCTCTTCATATTGCCTGGTCTTGGCAGGAAAGACTTTCTTGTTTCCCATGATCCCCATCATTTCGAGCAAGTGCTCCGCGCAGAAGGCCCTTGGCCGGAGAGGCCAGGAAATCATGTACTACACCACCATCGAACCGTGCTTCGCGATGACTTTTTCAAGGGCACTGTGGGCATTTTATCATCGTAAGAAAACAGTAAATCTTTATATCGAAATACCACAGAAACATTGAAGCCTTTTGCAGACAAGCGGAGCAATGGTCAAAATTCCGATCCACTGTTAATCCCGTACTGATGCAGCCGAAAGCAGTTCGTCTATATTATCAAAAAATGTCATCAGTAAACAAGGAGTTCATGCAGCGGTGAGCTAGATGTTTTATCTAATTTGTTGCTATGATCTCTAAACATTTACTTGCACTGAAATTAGCATTCGTGAGATACGTGATAGCAGCACTTTTGAAGTTCCCGACACTTTTGAGGATGAGATCAATCGCTGGACTCTGGAGTCCGTTTCGGTTGTAGCTTTGGACAAGCGCCTGGGAATAATGACTACAAATCGCGATAATCCGCAAGCCAAAAAACTCTTTAACTATCTTAATCAGTTTTTTGAGCTGTCGGCAGATCTTGAAATGAAGCCGACAATTTGGCGTTACATAGCCACTCCCAAGTTCAAGAAGTTAATCAAAACCCTAGACGACATCCAGGAGGTGACAACTGGCTATGTTGACGAGGCTCTAAATCGTTTGAAGGATACGCCATCCAACAAACCCGAGAATGAAAAGAGCGTGCTGGAGAAACTCTTGGAAACCGACAAACAGATCGCCATCGTCATGGCCATGGATATGCTGATGGCCGGTGTGGATACGGTAAGAAACTGTGCATCAGAATTGACTATATAAAAAGAATTTCGATAAATGAATTGTCATTTATAGACGACCACTACTTTTACTGGTGCACTCCTCTGTCTGGCCAAAAATCCCGAAAAACAAGCAAAGCTGAGAGAGGAAGTGCGTCGTATTTTACCCAACAAGGATTCCGAGTTCACAGAAGCCTCTATGAAGAATGTACCTTACTTGCGCGCCTGTCTCAAGGAGTCACTACGTCTGTATCCTTTGGCATTGGGTAATGGTCGTGTCACCAAGACGGAGCTCGTACTAAATGGTTACCAGGTTCCAAAAGAAACACAAGTTATGATGTTGTCCCACGGCCTGCTGACCGATGAACAGCACTATCCCCGAGGCAACGAATACTTGCCCGAGCGCTGGCTTCGCCAAAGTAAGGAGGAAGCTGCGAGTGGAAAATGCCCGCATTCCCTTAAAGCGAGCAGTCCATTTATCTACTTGCCTTTCGGATTCGGCCCCCGCATGTGCATTGGCAAACGAATTGCTGAAATGGAATTGGAATTGGGAATCGCACGACTAATTCGAAACTTTAATGTTGAGTTCAATTATTCCACAGACAATGCCTTTAAGAGCGTGCTGATTAATGTGCCGAACATACCTCTGAAATTTAAGTTTACGGACGTGGAAGATTGAAACATGGTCGGCTGTCGATCATAAAGATTGGATTATATGTATTTTGTACTATATTACCATGAGAAATGAATAAATAAGTAAATCACATACCAAAGATTTATACCAGTTTTAATCGTTGGGAGTTTTTTTTTTGAGAATGGATCGTTAAAAGAGCAAAGAGCAACTCTTTCGAACTGCTTTGCACATTTTTGTGGTCATCTAAGAACCAATCACTTGGTAAACATTTGCACTCTGCTTGACCCAGGACCAACGCGTCACTTAAAGTAAAACATTACGAAAACAGATTTTGAAATATGCTAATAGCGTACATATTAGAAAAAATTCTTTTTAAGAGAACGTACGAGAACGTACGATCATGACGGGGATGCAGAGGTGGTCGAAAGACACTTCCCTTTCTCGCTGCTGCAAGTTTATTATCATTACATATTATTAGATAATTAATTAATATTATTACACTTGTTGAATAGTGAAATCATGTTTTGATGTGATCAGATTTAGGACCTACTTAAGAGTAGTACACGGACCTTCAATACGCAGTGGTCTAATTGTACATATGTATGAACATCTAAGTAAGCATATGTTGCTGCGTTAACCGTAGCCTAACGTCCTTTAACTCATCGACAGCAAGCAGATCGTTGTCCTGCTCCTCACGATCATACTTTAGTGTTTCGGCTAGCATCACAGCATTCTGATGACACTTTGTCTCCTCGTGCTGTCGCATGTGATGAAGCAGGCGGAAATCTTTTTGGCAGTAGTCGCATCGATATAGCTTAATGTCCGAGTGTATCAGCTGGTGCTTAGTCAGAGAGTGAGCGTATGCGAATGGCTTATCGCATACCTTGCACACATAGGGCTTGATACCACGATGCACGCTGTTGGATGATGGAAATATTGTAAAGATGACTAAGTAATGGGCAAGTTTGTACTTACTTCTCGTGCGATTTTAGCACACTCTCATAGAAGAACTGGCGGCTGCAGTAGCTGCACTTATACGGCTTGCTGCCTGTGTGGGAATACATATGCTTGCGCAGCTGTTCGCGCACCTGGAATTTGGCATCGCAGAGTCTACATCAAAGCATTTGCAGAAGACATTAATGCACATTTTGCTCTTTATGATTGTTAAAACAAACTTACTCGCACTGGTATTGGCAGATAGCATCGTGACGCCGACGATGTTCCATCATGCGTCCACGCTTCTCGTAAAAATTGCCACAGACATCGCAGACGTAGCCACCTTTTTCGGTGCCATCCGAAGTGCGCAGCGAATTGAGACCTGTACGGGTCCGTCCTCGCCTGGCTTTCATTTCAAGTCCACCAGTTGCGTGGCTATAAGAATGTTGCAATTCCTCATGACCGGACTTGGCTGTGCTCATGCCCATACGTGTGGGACCTCGTCTCAGCTTAATATCACCAGAGGCAACTGTGTCATCGTATTTAGTTTCGAGTATAACTTCATCATGCTCGGGATTCATTTCTATGGTATAGTTGTCCTCCAAGTACTCGATGTCATCCGTAATAACCTCTTCTGGGTCGTTCGTGCCATCGACTTCCACAAACTCATCCTCCTGGACACAATCGACAACATCACCCTCGGGACTCGGCACTTCGTTCATCACCAACTCATTCATGTCATCATCGTCAGCTTGTTGATTATGTTGTGACTCCAACTCGTCCTTCACTAGATAATCGTCACTTTCATCCAGCAGGCCCAGTTCACGACAATAGTCTTCGATTTCGGCCTGTTTGCGCAAAGCTTTCTCGCGAAACTGAAAAGCCATGTTCAGCTCCACCTTGCATTGCTTGCAAATACCATCCGGTATCTGGTATTTGCCATTTAACTGGTGGATTTGGTTATTGAGTTAATAAGCAATTACATATCACACATAAATTGCTCACCTTACTGAATGAAATGCCCAGCAGCAGTATTAGCATTTCATTTGGAGTCTCCTCATCCTCCTCGCGGGACTCGTCAATGCGTTGTAAGCGCTGGCTGGGCTCTAAGCACACACGGCAAGTGTTTGGTCCAAGTTCAGCGCGCATTTTTTGTTTAATTGCTGTTTAGAACAGTATTTTAGTGTTAAAATTGTTGTCTGTGTTGTGTAAAGGTAAAGCGTCTGTATTAATAAGAAATCGCCATTTTTTCTGAGTAGCGATTTCAATGACACACGAGCTATCGATAACATGAACATTGTCAAAGACCGATAACAATTAGATTAATCCAACGGACCAAAGGAAAAATAAAATAAGATTAATTGAATAAACTGAAATTCACAGCTCAACCAGTCGCAGTATCATTGAGTAGCTCGAAGGCTTGAATATTTACCGCTTCTAATACTTCAAATGATAATTCCGTCAATTAAATTAATGAAAATCAATACAGCAAAGTGGCCTAATACATATATTAAAAAACTTTTTATAAGTCGACTTATGTTAAATGTATTTAATTGCTTAGTATAATTTATAACGCCAAAGGTGAATGTATTGCATATTGTTAAATGGAGATATGTATGCGAGCTCTTGAAAAATACTAAAAGCAAGTACTAGCATATGCCATGTTTATGTTTCAGTTGTCCATTACTTAATGGTTTCCAATAAAAATCGATTTTAAAAATTAACAAGCCCTTTTAGTGAACATAGTCACTAACTGTGAAGTACTTAATACTGATATAATATTTTTGAACATAGCTCACAATTTGAATACGACGTCCATCGGAAAGCAACACAGTGTTTACATTGAGATCATCTGGTATTTTTTAGCTCATTTACGTCCACACCAAGTTGGTCACTTTCGTGTGTATTTTTCGAGACGCAGAAGGAACGGAGCTCTTATCTCCGCGAAAAATGGATTATTCCAATATATTTTGTAATCTTATTAGAAAATAGCTAGCGTATTGGAATTGCAGGAGTCAAATATAATATTGTATCTGGCGGCAAAGGCGTACATACGCCTTTCACTCGCTTTATCCATGCAGTAAACACAGTCAAAATGGTTTATTATCTTGCGTTTTTAACATCCGTGTCTTCCGTCGTCGCCAAAATGTTCGTCGCACCAGTTATCGACTTCGCAATCTTCATCTCCTAAAGCACGCGACACGCATACACACATACATTTAGTGCGTAGGCTTTTCGACCAATTCAAATCAAACTTGCGTGCATCGGCAATAACAACAATAATAATAATAATAACAAGCAGCAAGAATTAGGAGCAGCAGCAGCGAGTGACGTGCAATTGGCGAAAGTGTGAGTAGCAGCAACAACCCCGAGAGGTTGCTGCTGTCTGCTGTCTGGTGGCTGGTGGCGCTCGTCTGTTGTAAGCCAGCCTAAACCCACCTAACATGTCCGAGAAGCATGGCCAACTCAGTGGTGCGCAGTGGACGACGAAATCAGCAGCAGCAGTGGGGGGCACAACGGCAACTACGCTGCAGAAGCATCAGCAACAAACCAATCCAAATTCCAATCCGATATACGAGGCAACAACAACAGTTGCACACACAAATCCGTATGGCGCTTGTGGTGTTCCCCTACCGGTGCCGATTCAGATTTCGGACATTCCCTCGTATACATCGGGACGTTTCCAGGCACCGTCCATCCATTTGCAAACGGCGAAATTATCACCGCTGACCATTGCGCCAATTGTGGCGCCTGCCCAGCAACACGCCCAGTCCCAGGTGTCGCCCACATCCACAAATGTACCTGCTCCCAGCCAAAGCGGCTTTGTGTCGCCAGCTTTTACAAATTTGAATGCCCCTGGCTCGGCAGCCAGTGGAGCCACATCCGTGCTCACTCCGAATCCCTTTGCAGCGGCCTCTGGCAATGCTGGTTTGGCCTTTGTCAATGCCTTTAAGAGCGCACAGCAATTGGATCTGGGGAAGATAATGCAAGCGATAAATGTTAATGCCTCTACAGCGGCAGCAGCAGCGTTGCCGAGGCACCCACATCCGCCACCTCCCCATCCCAGTGAAGGCGGTTCAGTAGCTGTAGCCGCTGCCCCACCCAGTGGCGTCATCAACTCCACAATTGCGGAGAACGTAATGAATGCGCTGACCAGCGACGAGGAGCGAATGCGACGCGTCCAGCAGGTCATCGAGTCCAGTTTGGAGTTAGTATTCATTAAACATAAAGCTTCCTTCACACTAATTATTGCCTTTTTAGTGATACTGCCAAGCTGCAAATTGCGCAAATTCTGGAAAACGTGGCAGGCTTGAAGCCCATTGAGAAACTGTTTCTTTATTTACGATTACCGGGCGAGAGTTCGGACACTGACCCATTGAGACAGCCACAGAATCCGTTGGGTACACGCTCAGAGATTAATCATACCATTAATTGGGTGCGCTCGCACCTCGAGCACGATGCTCAGGTCTCCATACCAAAACAGGACGTTTACAATGATTACATGTAAGTTGGTTGAGAGGCGCACTTTAAATGTGTTCATAAATATCGTATATTGATCGCTGATTCCGCTTTAATAAATCCAGCCATACAACATATAAGATTTAAACTAGTCTGAAAGTTTATTTCAAACTTATTTCTTATATCATACGCATAAGGTGTAATAAATGTTTAATTATGGCATTTTACGCTTTGCAGCGTCTATTGCGAGCGCCTGAACATCAAGCCGCTGTCAACAGCTGATTTTGGAAAGGTAATGAAGCAGGTGTTCCCCGGCGTCCGTCCGCGACGTTTGGGTACGCGCGGCAATTCGCGTTACTGCTATGCGGCCATGCGGAAGACCACAAAATTGACGGCGCCACAGTTGCCGCAGTTGTGCAAGGATGAGCCAATCGATGACAGTGTGCCCACTGAAACCGCCCCAGCACATTTAAAGCGCACACCCAACGCCCCGGGAAGTGTACCAGGCGCAGATGACGACGCCAGCTGGGATGTGGTGCGCAGTTGGGCGGAAAAACTACTCAACACTAAACTGGACAGTGTCACTGAGCTAGCCACACGCATTAAAAGCAACAATGCAGTTATTAATCCAGTAGTGGCGGCCAAAAAATATACGCCCAGGGAGCCCAAAGAGAAGCGCTTGCTTGCGGTAAGTTTTCTCTTCTCTCTTAGAAAATTGAAAATTTTGATGAAGTATATAACAACGATTAGGTTTTTATACGTTTCTATGAAAATATAAAAGATTAAATTTGAATAAGACCACGGAAACTAAATCATACATATTTTATATTAAATAGGACATGGGGCCGCTAAAGAAGCGCCGCAAAAAGAAGCGCAAGGGCTCCACCTCCTCCGAATCGAGCTGCAATCAGCCAAATGCGGCCACCGATGCTGGCAGCAGTCAGGAAGCGGTCAGCGATGACCACAAAACGGAACAGTTACTACAGATCAAACAGGAGATTATAGACTCGCCCAGTAGCTATCCGACAGCCCCACAGCTTCAGCAACAGCAGCAGCAGCATCAGCAAGTTTTGCCTATGAATCTGGCCACGGAGCCACGGAGCAATGCTGTCCGCAATCTAACGCCGAAGCTAATAGAGTTGCAAACGGAAGCGGCGGCACAACAGCCGATGTCACCCACTGGGCTGGTCATCAAGGACGAGGCGGAAGAGTACAACACCACAAACATATTCTGCAAAAAAGTGCTTAAGGCCCAACAGACCAAAGGCAATTGGGTCAACTCGCCCAGCAGCGGTAGCGGTAGCGGTGGCGCTAGCGGCAGTGCTCTGCTAATACCACCAGTGATAACCACAACGGCGGCAACACCTCCACCACCCGCTCAGCCACCACCGGACAGCTCGCCGGTAAATGTAACAGCGCTATCAATGGGCCCGCCCGCCCAATTGAATAATCCCAGCTCAGTAAGTCCGTCAAGCAGTCTGGAGACGAACAACAGCAACCCCAAGGTCTCGACACGCAACATGATTTTGATGCGGACGAGACGCTTGATGGCCGAGAATGCAGCGGCATTTGCCGCTGCCGAGGACTCTGGACTGCCTGAGAATTTGGGGCTGCCGCGGGAGCGCGTCATTAGCATATGCAATATGGATAAGCATGAGCTGGATGATTACTTTCTGCCCGGCGACGATGAGGAGGAGAATTCCGAGGGGCAGGATACCGAGTTGCTTCAATATTTTCAGATGGGAGACGCTGAGGAAAAACAACTGAATTCCTTAGATGCTCATGCAGAACAACACAGAAATCCACAGGCTGCGTCAGCTAATGCACTAGCCAATGCAATGGCAATGGCAAATGCTCGATCAGCAACGGCAACAGCAACAACAACAGCAGCAGCGATGCAACAGCAACATCAGCAGCAGCAGCAGCAACAACAACAACAGCAACAGTTGCAGCTGCAACAGATGCGTCGCTCAATGCCGTTGCCAACAGCAGCTGCAGTAGCAGCAGCAGCAGCGACAGCAGCAACAAATGTTGTGGGTTCTGCCTCAGCGTCTCTGGCTTTAATGTCACGAAAGCATCAACAACAACAACAACAGCAACAACATCAGCTACAACAACAACAACAACAACAGCAGCAGCAGCAGCTGCGATATAGCAACAACAGCAACAATAACAACAACAGCAACAAACGCAAGATTAGTTTAAGCAACGCGTCCAGCAATGGCAACAACAAGAACTGCATTTTTCTGCCTATTTCCCCAAACAACGCAGCAGCAGCAACAAAAGTGGCAGAAACTGCAACATCAATAGCAGCTGCAACCACATCAACAACAACAACAACAGCCGGAAAGCTGCCCACTCAGAATTGCTTTGCCAGTCCTGGACTCACACGAATGCGACAACGTTCCAGTATGCTAACCAAACAGCAATCGCTGGACTTTGACAACAATAACGGCAATGGAGACCCAATGATTGGGGCGCATAGGCGCAGGCGCAGTTATGTGTACAGTTATCCCAGCAGCAGCTCCGCCTCGGCTCCGCCAAGTCCCTCGCTATTGCAACAATGTATGGGCGTCAATTGGTCGTTTAGCGGCAGCGCTGCTAACAACAACCAGTTCAGCGAGAGCACCACAAACAACAGCAGCAGCAACAACAACGTGGAGCTGCTAATCAATCAAAACTCGATGGATTTGGAAACTAGTCTGGCTCTGAGCGGCGCCAGTATGGAGCTTAACGAAACACAACGTTCACAATCTGTGCCACTGTCGCAACTGCAACGCGGCAGCAGCAACCACTCACCCTCAACGGGCTACAATCGTCAGCTAAATCAGGCGGTTGTCAACGCTTGCATTGTCCACGATGCGTTCTTCTCCGAGAACAGCAACAGTCAGCAGTCTGTGGGCGCACTAAAGCTGGGCGCCAACGATGTTGATGTGCCGGCTAGTCTGATCTACGATGATGTGGACGTCAGTGCGCTCATTTCGCCCAGTTTTGCTAACAAGTTTAGCGGCATACAAACAACGACCACATGCAGCTCATCGGCGGGCTCCTCGAGCGGTTACAGCAGCGCTGGCAGTGCTGGTGGTATAGTATCGCGCTCGGTGCCCTCCACACCGCTACCACATCAACAGTCGCAGCTGCAGGGCTGCAACAGTAGTCAGAACACCGCAAATGGCAACTGCAACGATGCCAACGGGCTATTCAACATCTCGCCAGCCTTCAATTGGGGCAGCAGCAATGTGTCATACAATGGTCAGCCGTATGGTTCGCGAACGGCACTCGATATATCAAAATCGATGCCAACGACGCCCATAACGACTCCGTGCTTTCGCTACAGTCCCGTCGAGCTGCATCGCGACTTTCTAATCAATGGCAATACGATTGATAGCCTGCCGTCGCCGGCTATGGTGCCTTTCGGCGTTGGCAGTGCCACAAACGCCGTTTTGGCACTCAGCAGCGATGCGCTGATTGATGATGTGGCACCAACCAGCAGCGATGTGGATGCCATTATTGGAGCCGCCAATATACTCGATAGCTTGTAGAATTTGCACGAAGAGAAAGCTCAAACTCAGGCAGAGAATGAAAACGAGACGCAGCCAGAAGAGCTGGTGATAGACTGTCTGCTTCAGCATGTGGACAAGTTGTAAATGTCTCAATATCTGCCTGTTTCCCTCTCCCTCCCCCTTTCTGACTATTTGTCTGTCGCCTACAAATTGAAAGCGTAGTCCGTGTATCTTTATTTGTAAATTTTGAATTTGTTGTTGTATTTACTTAAGTAATTATTGTAGAATTATCGGTGTTTCCTGTAAAGAGCTTTCTCTTCGCAATTCTAAAGCAAAGCACAGCACCCACGCCTATATAACATTTATATATATATATATATTCTTAAGATAAGCTCCAATTGGTTTCAACAATGTCCATAAAAGCAATTCATGAATATGTCAATGGTATTGAAACCAACATCCTCAACCAATTATCCCTCAGGCCCTTGTTATATGGTTATATGTGCGTGCATAAAAATGTATATGTAATTGTATATATATAATTATGTACTGTCTGTACTGTGTATGCTGCATATTGTTATAAAGTGGGAAGTAACTGGAAAATGTTTGCCATTTTCTGTAGTTGAATAGTTTTTACTGTTGACCCTCGATTTGAGAACAAAACTGAAAACAAGAGAGAACCTTACAAATGAAACGAACTTAAAGTCTGAATGAATTCAACGTGCAGCGGTTTTAAAAACAAATATATACACATAGGAAATAAAATAATGTAACATTTTAAATGCTCCCGTCGGGGATCGAGATTGTTTTACGATACCAATAAGAATCCAAAACTATACATGCAGGATAGTTCTAAGCAAATAAGTGTTGAGGGCCTGAATAAACAAAAAACAAGCTTCTAACTTTAAGAATTATCAAGATCAAGATCAAGATGAAGTGTGTAAATGTGTGTGTCGTATCATAGCGTATCGTAATTCTTTACAATTTGTTATCGAATCAATTTGAAACTCAATCAGGCTTTCAAACAAAGTTGATAAAGTTGATTAAAGGCGCGTGTAAAATTGGTCGACATTCTTTTGATTTTATTAACAACCTATGTATTTGCTACTCTGTAATTTCAATGTTCTATTCAATTTAATTGTTATTATATTTTCTACCCCATCACTAAACCATGTTCAATGGTTTGCAGTTAGAATTAAGTGTTTGTTTGTTATTGAATGTGTTTTGTTTAATGCTAACGCATTATAGGAGTAGGTATCTCTCTTATTGTCCATAGTTCTTTAGGTTTAATTCCCTTATGTACCGCTGAAATTCACGTTTTATTATCCGTACATTTAGTGTTATTCGTATGCTTATTGTTGAACCCTCTATCCTGTTTAGCCTATTCTATTTTTTAGATTTCTACGACTTTCAACAAAGTTTAGCTTTAACATTTCGCTTATACAAATCAAATCACAAACGATTTTCCCTGCTATGAATTAGCGTTAATTTGTTTGTAAAACAAAGTAAAAATTATGAGTACGAACATCTACAGCATCTTTGCGTTCTCCACAATTAAATTGATAAAATTAAAAGCGAACAAAAAGAAAAATAAGAAAAATTATAACTGTGCCTCAGGCTTATTGTAAAACAATTATATACATACATAACAACAATATACCATAGCATATACACACAAACCATACAAATGCATTAAAACGAAGTTATCGCAACGTATACATAAATATATAAATATATATATATACTTATATAAAAATATACACTCATTTACAAAACAATTGAACAAGGGAAACAATTGAATTTGGCAGAGACCGCAGTCTCAGCAAAGATTAAGGATAGTCAGCAATTACACCATTCAATACGTATCTATACAATTATTCAAACAACCCCCAACCATAGGCATAAAAGTGCAGATCATTTCTCTGTAATCCTAAACAAATCATCACTCCGCGCTTGTATCTATGTATATTTAAGCTAAGCTAAGCAAACGAAGCCAAGAAACTGGATATGCACATCCCCGCATCAAGCTGCTACCGCCTTAAATAAATAGAAATAGAAATAGCCCCTTAGGAATACGAGTACACATATAATAATTTCACCGGGAACATACTTTGATAAACAAACGTAAAATATTCGTAATGCATACAATACAATAGTTACATAAAGATAAACGAACCAAATTGTACTTTTTATAAGATATTTGAATGAAATACACAAATCAATTAAAGTCAATAAAAATCTATGGAACAAAATATAAATTGTGGTCTTAATTGAAATACTACTGGGCGGCAGACTATCAATCAATACTCCCATTGATTGATCAGGGTGACATTTGACATATTGATGCAATAAATCAGCTAATAATATTTACTTATTAGATTTATCAAAAATTTCAATATTTGAAAAAACTGATAAGCCAACTGGGAAATTAATTTCTATTTATGAATTATTAATTTACATTAGGAAAAGACAATTTATTAATATTTCGTGTCTTTTTTTTTATTAACCTTTTAAGTTTAAAATAATAATATTAATATGCAATAAATATTTTTTAAATATACATAATAATACCGTTAATTGTAATATGCGTGTGCTTTTTGTTTAATTTGTCATATTTTCATTTACTTGTTGTGTTTTTTTTTTCGTTATTAATTAGTTGCGTTTACTTAATCGTTAGTTAAATACTTATATGATCATTTATTTATGTAAATTTAACTATTTTGTTTTATATGCATTATACATTACATTTTAATAGCGCCAAATAATATTCCATTTGCTACAACTGATTCTTGCTTGCAGGGCCATTTATTGTTATAAAATGTATTGGTTTTGTTTGCTTGGCCCTGCGTCTCTGTATATGATGGTAAATATAAATATAATACATATGTATACGTATAAAAATCGTTTATGCGCCATGTATGTACTTGTTCTTGTTAAATGTTAATATTACACTACGCTAATAGCACATTTGAAAATCCAATTAAATTGCTATGGGCCTTATTGTGTTATTATTTATATTAATTGTATGTTTTTCTTTTTCTTTACTGCTGCTGTAACATATAAAACACTATTTGTTAAATATGGTTTACGTATATATTTTATATATGTATGTTTACTAAATATTTATTTTATTATTTGTTGTTGTTGTTAAATGCTTGTAAATCATTTTTATTTGTTACTTTACTGTTTAATTGGTTTCCTGATACTTGACTTGTTTTTGCTGTTATTATCGCACCGATTCCGTTAATACTTTCACTTTAAAAGTCTCCCGTTTCATATACATATATATACATATATATATTATATATATATATAACACACGTTGGACTCCATGCCTGTTGGTTTACAAATAAAAAAGTGCTTAACGGAATGGCCACACATACACATATAATGTATGTATATATAGATTTATGTATATATATATATATATATATATATATATATATATGTTGTATATGCCGCTACTGCTATGTATATAATATATATAAAATTGTTGTTATTTCGCTGAGGTGGAAAATTCATTAATTAATAAGGTTACTTGTTGTTCGGCTGCCATTTTGCTGCTTTAGCTGCATTTTTCTGCTTCTTTGTTGCTAATGTTGCGCTACATAAGTTTCTGAGTGTTAGTTGTGTATTAGATTATGGTTAGGGTATCAACTGGGTAATGCTGAAATTACACCGAAACGTTCTATATGTCTGTGTATGTATGTATGTGTGTGTGTGTCCTATACGCTCGTATATATTTATGCTAAGCGCAATAAAATGATTCAGAATTGAAAATAATTTTCAAAGTGCATTTATTAAGATGCATTTATTCCGTATGCTCAAATATTTGTATTGCATTTTGAATATCTTATTAGTATTATTTGCATATATTAATTTATTTGCTTGTAATAGGATTTTTGGAAGCGACGTTGACAATTTTACATACATCTTGCGAACAGGAACGGATCGATTTTAGAAGCTTGTTGTGTTGGTCCCAATACAAGAAACTGTAAATAATCAATCTGGAAATTTTGGAATTCAAGTTGAAATGAACGGAAATAGTTTGTAATTAGTTTAGAATTTATTTAAAAATCATAAAAAACACACATTCCCAAATAATAGGACAAAACACACAACTTAAAAACGAATACAAATCAATTAAACAATAAATTTTAAATACATTTTATAACTAATAATCATACTCATAGTAATAATGATAATAATAATAATAGTAAACTTGGTAATAATGAAATCAGTAACATTGTTCATCAGAAAATGGGGGCTTTTTGTTGATGTTATTGTTGTGGTTGTGGTTGTTTTCGGATGGTGCCTTAAGAGTCTAACACATATGTGGTCAGTTAAAATATGCGACACTAATTTGCAAAAATAAACATTAGAAGAAAAAAAACAAGGCAATGCTATACAATAAGTTAACTACAAATAAACTCAATTCATTTAGTTACACCTTAGAAGACAATCCAACTCGATTCGAATTGAATCATTATAAATTACAAATTAAATTAAACATAAAGCAAAACTTTGCATAAATTTCTTTCGTTGCGTGCGCATGTGGCTGCTGCGGATTGATTTTCATTCTCATCATTTTGCATTAATCCATTTTGTTTCGTACTTTCGTATTTTTCATTCTGTTCAGCAATTTAACTAAATTAATTTATATTAATTACTCGTTGTGGTGGCGCCACCGCTGACCCCGTTCAATGTCGGCTCGCCCGTGTTGCTCCTGCTGTCCAGCGACCAGTCCCAGTCCTTGCCCTTGGGCCGGAACTTGGACGACTTGTGATGATGATTGTAGCTGGCACTCGCATTTGCATTGTTCGCACTGATGCTGTGGTGCGGCGACGATTTCTCCTTTGGCGATTTACCCGATTTGCCCAGCACAGCTGGCGGCGTTGCTGCTGCTGCCACGCTGACGGACGTCGGATCAAGCATTGTTGGCGGACCATTGCCAGCGGCATCGGCCGCCGTTGCAGGTGCACTGGAGTTGGAGTACGACAGCAGCTCATCGCAGTCGTACTCCCAGTTGCGCTCACAGAACTTCTTCTTGTAGTGCTTCTCGGAGCCGCTCTTCGACTTGCGCTGATACTTGAGCGGTATGCGCAGCTCATTGCCCAGCGATGACGGTGCATGGGCCAGTGGTGGTGTCGCAACGCTGGCAGCACTGGGACTGGGCGTCCGTGGCAGGCCCACATCGGACAGCGGCGGTGACTCAATGGCGCCCGAGTCCACCGGCGAAACCGTCTTCAGCGAGCTGCTCGCGTTCAGTGTTGAGGAGGTGCTTGACTTCATGCTGCTGTCACTCAGATGATCTGTCAAATGTTGCTGATGCTGCTGCTGCTGTTGTTGTTGCTGTTGCAGCGGCTGTTGCTGCTGCGGCTGTTGTTGTTGTATTGGCTGCTGCTGCTGCTGAAGATGACCATGCTGCTGGTAGGGATGATGACTCAGATTATGCACCTGGCTGGCATAGAGGCCGTTGTTGCTGTTGCTGCTGCCACTGCCACTGCTACTGCTGTTGTTGATGCTGATGGGCAGCTCCAGTTGCGATGAGCTTGACGAGGTGGACAAAAATGTACGCGCCGCATCCGAGTTGCTGCTGCTGTGCGTGATGCCCGAATCCGGTGAGGTGTTGCAACTAATCGAGGCGGGCACCGTGTCGCCATCAATGGAGCGGCGCGTCTTGTCCAGCTCAGTGCTGGCAAAGGCCACCAGACGATCAAAGCCGGAGCTGACACGATGCTGCCAGTGGGACTCCTCGTCGGCAGCGATCACATCGTCTGTTGTGGACAAAACATAGGCAGTTGATTAGCAATCAAATGTGATATATAATCAGTTAAGTGGCAACAGCAACAACTGCTGCTGCTGTTGTTGGTGTTGGTGTGCTTCTGTGTGTGTGTGTGTGTGTGGCTGGGGGTAGGTGTGCTGAGCGATAACAGTAGCAATGAAAGGTAGCTATAACGATTACGATAACACACATCGTGTGTGGCAACCAAACCCTAAACATTTGGAAGGCTTTCTCGCAATGTCGAATGCTTAAAGGTGTGTGTGTGTGAGTAAGTTGTAAGCTGTATTTTGCGGCGTGTGAAAATTAAATTAGAAAGTGTTACAAAAAAGATGGTTAAAAATCATAAATAAAAAAAAATCAAAGCAAAATGAAATTAAAAAAAGTTGAGAAAGTAAACCAATTAGGCGCAACAGAACTTACCTCATGCTCATGTTTAAATTTCATATATATGTGTATATATAATATACTAAAGGTTTTTGTTTTTTGTTTTTTTCTTTTGAATTTTGTTTTAAATTCGGTTAGGTTAAATTATTCAACGAAAAATAAATTATGTTTTGTCTTTATAAATGTTTTTTTTTTGTTTTTTGTTTTTTATATTAGATATTTTGTATTTTGTACTCTGCTTCTCAACAACAACATTAGGTTTTGGCATTTTTTGTTTTTTGTTTTTTGTTTCGGGGTGTTCGTGTTCATTTTCTTTATCGATTTTTGTTTCGTTTGTATTTTTGTGGGTTTGGCTTTGAGATATTTTTGAGGTAATCAATGGTTGTTATTATTATTGTTATTATTGGTACTACTACTATCGGCCACAACAAATCCATTGTTATGAGTATTACAATTGGTAGCGGTTTGTTTCGTGGCGCCAGACAAAGTCGAAGTCGGTGTGCGAAGTCGACGTCTGGGATCGTAATTAGTTACAGTACGATGCGTTGCCAAATCGGTAACTGTATGGGAGTAGAGCATAATAGAAGAGATATAAAGTCGAGTTTTGGATAAGTAGCGCGACGATTTGTTTTATTTTTATTTTTATATTTTTTTTAATGTTGTCCATTGTTCGATATTTGTTGTTTTTAGTAAATATTTGAAAATTAATTATGCAAAAATAACATTCCACAGGAGATTGTTAATGTTCAAGTAAAAAAAAATATATATGTTGATTTATGTTTCTTTTTTTACAGAGAGCGTTTGAGAGTATGTGTGTGAGTGTGTGTGTGTGTGTGTGTGTGTCGTATGTAATTTTGATTCTTATGAAGTTAATGATTTATTTGGCGTGACTGACTCGGTAAGTTGAAGTAAGTATGAATATAAGCTGGCAAAATGTTTCATGTTGCATGTTGCATGTTGCATGTTGCGGCAGTTTTTCATTTTTTATTACAACTATTTTATTTTTCGGCGGTTTTCGATTTACAGAATACAAAGTATTTACACGTTGCCCATGATCTATCGATTTTATAAATTGTAGAAAGAAACAGATTCATTTACCATCAGCTAATTAACTAATAAATAAAGTGGGCAAACATTATCATCATCATCAACTCGGTTTACAAATCACACATCGGAGTCACGTTTTTGTCATAGGTTAACCACGGTTAGGTTAACTACTTTATAGATTAATGATTATTCTTCTTTTTGATTGGTTTATAAGAGGGGAATCTGGTTTATACTTTTAAAATATATTAACAGATGATAATCATATATTTAGCTATATCGTTTTAAAATTTAACAAAAACCAAAATAGTAATAGTTTTTAATTAATATTGAAATATTAAAACCAAAAGGTATTTCAACAATAGATAAATATTTAATTATTTGTGTATTTTTATATGTATTTTATTATCGGCGTTTTTTGTACGTATTTTTCTTAGTAAATAGCCGAAGAAAACTTGTTATTTTTGTTGCTTTAAACTGTAATTTTCATGTGAGAAAGGAGAAGGAAAACAACAAAATACAAAAAACAAAAAAAAGACAAACAATAAATAAATATGAAATATTTCTAGGAAAATAAATGAAAAACATGCAAAACTACGAACAACGCACAACATAAGTTAAACCAAAACCGTTAGACGCAACTCAAATGTGGCAACAATCTGGTTTTTGCTTTTGTGTATTTTTCTATGTATTTGTAAATAGCGACAGTAAAATAATATGCAAAGTGTAATTGTAATTGTAATTGTATAAAATGTGTAAAATTGGTGCATGCATTATGAAGCGGTGTAGTGTGGCATTAGCTGGAGTTGCTTTAGCTCGAGCTGGAGCTGGAGCTGGAGAAGCTGGAGGATGAGACACTCTCGGTGTCGGAGTCAGCATCCGACGCAGCTGAGACGTTTGACCGCCTGCACTTTGTGGTGAGATCTTGAGCCATCGTTTGGGTGGCGAGTCGGGTTTGATAGCTGTGCAATTGATGATATGTGGCATGAGCACCATGAGCTGGTGCTTGTGGTGAGTGTGGTGCATGTGGTGCGTGTGGTGCATGGAATGCTTGTGTGTGTGATGCTGTTGCTATAACTGGGCATACAAATGGCTTACCATCATCGGCGGCATTCGACCGCTGGCCGCCCACAATGGTGGGCGTGATGCTGTGGCTACCTTGATGGGAGCCTCGCAACTGCTGTTGCTGCTGCTGATGCTGCTGCTGCTGCTGCTGGGCATGCTGATGTGCTTTCACCTGATGGTGGTGATGGTGCGGCTGCTGATGACTACTCGTCGACAGCTGCAGCGGTCGCTCATCGCCCATCAGTGAATTGATCTCGGGACTCATTAGCAGCGGCGGCTCCACGAGCACCTTGCTGCGTCTGCCACAGGATGAGGACGATGACGACGGTGTCGGCGACGGGGTGTTGGCCTCATGTGCGGGCGGCGGCAGCGATTGCACCCCATTGCTATTCACATACAGATGCTGATGCGCATGGGCAAGCGGCTGCTGATCAAAATGCGGCAACTTGGCGGGTCGCGACGGTTGCTGATGCGGCGCCAGTGGCGAGCTACGTTTTATGCCCACTGCAAAGAAGAAGATGTCGAAATGAGTGACTTGGCTAAATACGCTGCTATATATTTATTCCAGCTTACGCTCCACTTTGTGTGGCGTGCCATTAAGGTTGCCAGCGGCTGTGTGATGATGCGACTGCTGCGTCGGAGGCGGCTGCTGCTGCTGCTGCTGATGATAACTATGAGCGGGCGGCGCCTGATGCGCGAAATGCGGTGCCAGATCCAGAGATGAAGTAGCGGCAGCAGCACGTCGTTGTCGTTCCTCGTTCTCCTCCTTGTATTTGCGTGCTCGCACATGATCCTGCAGCGAGGCAGCTAGTCCTGCAACAAATGAACGAAGACTGTTAGTAAAGAACCATTAGAAATTGTAAGTTAGTGGCGCCATCTAGAGTGACATGAGCTAACTTTGAGATCTGGAATAGATCAAGAATAACAATAACTCTTTTAATCCGCAAGATGGCGCCACAACATTAAAGCAATGCCGAAAATGGGGAAATTAGGAAAAAAAAAAAAAGTTTGTTGTGTCTTCAAATACAGTTTGATGTCATCATTTTGAGTCTTCTTTCTACATTTTTGGATTGGTATACAAATAGTTTGTTTATTATTTATATATATTCTACAGTTTTGTTTTTTAAATGTTCTACAAGTGACACATATCTTCTCAAACATAAAGCACGTAAATCAGTAAAAATATTCACATTTTTTATTGTTTTACTTTATTAAATGCTTTATAGTTTTGAAGGAGATGTTAAATACCGATACAAATTACAATTGTTGGTGAGGACCTTCTTCCCGATCCCTGATCGCTTTGGCTCTTACGCTACACCCAACCACAATTTTGCACTTACCTTCCAGTGGCGGATTGGCACCATTCATGCGTGGTGCACGCAATGCACTTGCACCACCCCCAGTGCTCTTCGATTTGGGGTACTGTTGCTGGTGGTGATGTTGTTGCTGCTGCTGCTGCTGCTGCTGTTGTTGTTGCTGCTGTTGCTGCTCCTCGTGAAAATATGCCTCAATGCAACCGTTCATTTCCGCACGCGGCAAAGCAACCGGTTGATAGTCGCGTGCCGAACGTGACGATGACGATGACGCTGCACGGGAAACTGCCACCTGTGATTTCTGGGCATAGGCGACATGGGCCAATGTGGCCAGATTATTGCTGCTGCTGCTGCTGCTGCTGCTGCTACTGCTGCTGCTCGCTGCTGCCTGACTGCTGTAGTTGGTGGGCTGCGGCTCGGGCGCATCATCGCCAATGGGCCGCACGTGAACGCGCTCCGGCCGTTGGGCATTGAGATTGATCAGCAGTCGATCGTTATTCCGCTCGGCGAGAAAGGCGCGTTCCATAAAGTGTGCGCTGCTGACGCCGCTGCCGGCACCCGTGCTCATGTTGACCGCCGCATTGATGATGCTCTGGTGTGATATCTCAAGCGTACGCTCGATCTCGCCATTGACCAGATCCCCAATCGTCTTGCCGGCCGTCACTGGTGGCGCCAGTGCCATTGGTGGCGGCGTTGGCAACGCCTGCGGCGGCTGATTCAGTTTCTCCTGCGACAGATGACGACGCAGTGCCATTTTCGCGGGCGACACTTGCGTATAATCAGGCTGTGAGCTGTTCGAGCTGGGACGACTTGGCGGTCGCACGGATAGACGCTCCACACGGTAACCAGCGTAGTCCGAGTTGGCCGAACTGGCCCGAGGCAGCAGCTCCAAGCTGTGCTGTTGCTGCTGCTGGTGTTGCTGCTGCTGCAGCTGCTGTTGTTGTTGTTGCTGCTGTTGCTCCGCTAGCTGCTCGCGGCTGCCTGAACGCTGCAGCAGATTCTCAGCTGGCGCTTTGAACTCGGCTGCCTGATGATGATGATGATGTAATGCAAGTGATGCCTGATGTGCCTGATGCGACTGTTGTTGCTGCTGCTGTTGCAGTCGCTGCTGTGCTACGTGGGCAAACATAAGCGCCTGTTGCTGCTGCTGCTGGTGCTGGGCTATAAAGTGCTCGTAACTGTTGGCGCTGACGGAGGCGCGTCGTCGATGATAACCCAAATCGGCAGGCGTCGCCGTTGTTGCCGCTGTTGCATTGTGTCCCGCATACAGCGTTGCCAATTGCGCTGACGATGAGGGAGGCGGTGGTGGCGGTGGCGGTGGTGCACCCGAACCAGCTCTTGGTGGTGCTGCATACTTGGACTCCTTGATCGATACCGTTTGGCCGTATTTGCTTGACAGCTGCTGAAGCTGCTGCTGCTGGTGTTGCTGCTGCTGCTGGTGTTGGTGGTGCTGCTTGCTGCTCATGTAGGCGCTGGCATAGGGCAAATTGGCTGGCGGTGGTGGCGCCGTCGAGGCAGCTGCAGCCGCCCTTGGGCCCGGCAATGGTGGCGTTATGGGCGATATGGTCGTATTCGCATTCAGATGCATCAAGCCCTGCGTCGACACGGTTATGATGTTGTGCAAGTTGTTGGCCGACGTCGTTTGGGCCATTTGCTTGCTCCGTTTCGAGACGGGCGATTGGAGCAGCGCCACTGCGGGTGCTTCAATGATGGGCAATGCTTTGCTGCGCTGCTCCTGATCCTCGTTTAGCGCTGATGTTATGATGCTCTTGAGCCTATCCTCAAAGTTTGCCACCTTGGGTGATTCCTGTTTGCGACCCAATCCAGGCAGCTCACACTTGGGCAACAGCACAGTAGTCGCTGGCTGTTGCTGGTGTTGCTGCTGTTGCTGTTGGGGTTGTTGCTGTAGCAACTGCTGCTGCTGCTGTTGTTGTTGCTGTTGTGGCTGCTGTTGTTGCTGTTGCTTTGGCGCTGGCATCAGCGTGCTATCCTTGTACAGAGACGTCGTTGACTTGAGCTCAATTTTGGGTTTGCCACCATTGACAAAGTTGACAGTGTTGCTGACTGTTGCACTGCTGGCATTGATAGCAGCTGGCGGCGCCTGAAATTTGCCAGCCTCGACCTGGCGACAGGTCTCGAGTATCTTTTGGGCCAGCACCTCCGGATTGCTCTCCTGTATTTTGCCCACCTCCGGCACCTCGGGCCACTCTTGGGAGCGTGCACGATGCTCCCGACTGCGACGCGATGATTTGACCGCTTGCAGCTTGTTGCAATTTGGCAGGGCAACATTCGATGCAGCCGCAGGGGCAACAGCAGCAGCAGCTGCAGCAGCAGAGGCATTGCTAGCCAGGCTAATGTTGGTGCCCTGGGCGAGCAGAGCGGCAGCTGTGCTGCGATCCTCGGCAGTCTTTTGCAGCGTGCTCGTCTCCTGTTCGATGGTCGAGACTTGGGCGTACAGCTTTTTGCGCTGACTCAATGTATTGGCAATCTCCTTGAGCACCAGCTCTTGGGCGGCCGTTTCGGACAGCTCTTGTGGCAACTCGGATTTGACTTTGCCGTTGCCACCGCCGCTGCCATTGTTGACGCCGCAGAGTTTCTGGAATTCGGGCAGATGCTTCAGCTGCTTGCTGAGCAGCAGTTTCTGTTCGCTCTCGTAAACGGTGACCTCGTTGCGCATCTTGCTGACCGCATGCTGCAGATCCTTGTGCCGTCCGACAATCTCCTTGGCCTGCGCAATCAGATCGTTCGGCGAATTCACATTGATGCCCAGCTCATTCATGCGCACCTTCAGCAGCGTCACACTGTCATCGATCAGCACCTTGATCTGCTTGTCCAGCTGGTTGGCCCGGTTCTTCAACTGAGCCATACGCTCCTGCTCCTGGGCAATTTGCTTCTGCACCTGCGGCAGATACGCACTCGACCGCATACAGTCAATCATCGTCATATACTGCGAGCGAAACACATCCAGCAGTATTTGCAACGCATACGGCGTGTCTTGCGGCGCAGTGGGTATATCCAGTTCCCGGTGCGACATGTCACCGGTGAGGAGCGACGTCAGCTGCTGATCAACGGTGCCCGGTGCAGCGGGCAGCTTCTTTGTCATCGAGTCCAACGAGGTGCTCAGCACTGTCTGCTTGTGCAGCACATCGAGGCCGGCAATCTTTAGGCACTTGCGACCACGCTGCCCCTTCTTTAATCGTCCCTTGCGACCGGGACCCGCACTAGCCGCCCGCGGTTGATCCTCCTTGCTGCTCGAATCCTTGCTGGCCGAGGCGGATGTGGCGGACGCAGCAACCGCTGCAACAGCAGCTGCCTCTTCCGCTTCACGTTGCGCCGCTGCTGCCGATTTGCTGGCAATTGCCGCTTTACGTGTGAGCTTCTTGCGCTTCTTCAACGTGGTGAGAGTGCGAGGCGGCACGCGTCCCTGGTGGCTGTTGCTGTTGTTGCTGTTGCTATTGTTGTTCTCCTCGTCATCGGACTGCGAACTCTTGCCCTTGGAGCTGCACCAGTCCGACCACACCTTACGCGTCATTGGTCCATTCGATGTTGAGGTGGTGTTTGTGGTGGTTGTGGTGTTGCCACCATTACCATTATTCACCTCGCCATCGCCGTCGCTGTCCGTGCTGCTGTCCATGTCCAGACTGTGTTGCTGCATCTGTTGCTGCAGTTGTTGCTCTTTCTGCTGCTGCTGTTGTTGCTGCTGCTGTTGCTCTTTCTGCTGCTGGGCTGTTGCCAACTGTTGGCGAGTCTTGGAGGCGGTTACTCCACCACCGCTAACATTTGCCGGAGATTGCGATTGATGGCGCTGCTGGGAGGCTGGACCATTGAAGAGCTGCTCCCGCTCGCGTTCCCGCTCACGCTGCTGTTCCCGGTGCAACTCCCCCCGCTGATGGTTGTTATTGTGGTTGTTATTGTTGCTGTGATTGTTGTTGTGCTGTCCAACATTTGCCTCACGCTTGGCGCGATCGCGTGTGGTGCGCACAGTGCCTGCAAGAGACAAATTTAGACCATTAATCGAGTGCGAACAACCCATAAAAAATGCGTATTTTTACTGCCTAGAATTAATAGATTTCTTATTAGGTTTAATTTTTTGAACATGGGACATGAAAATGTTAGATTTCTCTTTGATATTTATAAATATAAATATATCTTTAATTAATAACCGGACTAAAAATATAAAATATATCTATATATATAATGATTACCTAAAACCTGTTTAGTAGCTATAATTTAAATTGTAATTTACTTATAATTTTATATTTTTTATAATTAGTTTAACATAAGATCAGAAGGAAACAAAAAGATGGTGATTAATTATGACTGATCGTAGGTGATTGTGATTGTGATCATGCGATGATTGTGATCACTGACTGACTGACTGATCTGATCATGACTGATACTTGAGATTGATGTGTGACTGAGTCAACGTGTGATGTGTGTGTGTGTGTGTGAGTGTATTGATTGTTATTTGCTGGTCAATTTTACCATTCCCAATTTTACTTACCGACATGCTCGTGATCACCGCCCTTGGTTTTCAGGCGCTGAAAATAGCGCTCTAAAATAGTGCGATCGATAACATGTAAATAATATGAAACCGGTTTGCAGGTCCACGAAACGGAACCCTTCAGTGGCGGTATTTCGCTAACATGCATTATTGTGCCAATATCGCTGAGGTTTCTGTGAGAAAGAGAACGTATTATTATATTTTAGTTTATATCATTCAAGTTATCACTCACCGATCCGTGATGCGAAAGTTGAGCGGACAAAACGATTTCGATGAGACAACTCGGGCGCCATCGCGCAAATCGGCAAATCGCTCCTTCAGCTGATGATCAACGGTCGGACCGAAGGCAAAGTTATTGACAAAAACCAGCGTCGATGAGGTGATCTTCTCGCGATGCTCGTCCACCAGAAAATCACCCTTGATCAATTTGTACTCGCAGTAGCGCTTGCCGAACCAGCTCATGTACTGGCGAAAGATCAGATCCATGCGTTCCGCATAGCGGGCGGGCGTGTCCGCCTTCTCGATGCCAATGCATGTCTTGAGGGGGAACGAACCAGCCATTTGTAGTACCACCTGTCCCACACCGGAACCGAGATCAATGAACGTGTCCTCCTTGCTGACGGTGACATGTTTGAGCATTTGCTGGACCAGCTCGTATGACGTCTCGCCGTACACCTCCGGCGAGAAGGGCTCGTACTGATTGAGTTTGTCCGGATCGAGTACGGCAGCATTGTAAACTAATTGCAGTATATGTCTTAAAAGGCTAGGGTGAGCGAACTTATTCAAACGCTCGGCGGGCAGTGAAGTTCCTTTTTCCTGTGCGAGCAAATGCAAACAATTAGTTTCGAATCGAATCGGATTGGTTGGGGATTGATTAAGGATAGCTAACAATATCGATTGGACAAGACTGTTAAAACACTCTCGTAAAAAGTAACAATCGGAAGTTTAGCATCTGAATTTGAATAGGACTTATTTTATTTTTTTTGTAAATCTACTAGCTCAATAATATTTCAAAGCTTCAATTAATATATTCTGTATTAGTATGCAAATTCTCAATAATTCAAAACAACGTTTCGTTAATTTGATAAAGTCGTAAATCATTTAATGGAATTATTTTGGTGATTTTATAATGCAATCGGGGGATTCAAAGGAGTCAATGGAGGAGATTTTAATTTACTTACCAATGCAACAATACTGTCGACAGCCTTGTTGAAGCGATCGACAAGATTTGTCATAGTCTTATAACAGGCAGTGTCAATGTGATTGAGGTTGATTTCCTCGAATGCAGATGAAATGGATGGCAGCTCATCGCATACGAATTTAATTGTATCGATGATATCGATGCCATTGTCATGCTTATCCTGTCCATGTCCAATCTGCAGTGGCCACGCAAAGGTGAGTGTATCGGAGGAGCCAGCTGGCGAGCGCAACACCAAGTCTTTGACTTGCGGTGTTGCCATATTTTTCCCTTGCCAGCTGAGCGGCAAAAGGTCAATGCGAACCGAAACACCAAAACAACGACACGTTGTTGTTTTATGCTTCGCAGTTGTTCTTCCTGTTCTTGTTCTTGTTGTTTGTTAACTATATATATATATATTTGCTTGCAGTATCAGCAGATTGATTGGCATATGAGCGTGTGACGCAGTATTGATCATATATCGTGTATCATATTATGCATAATGGATATATATATATATATATGTATATATATATATTGATGCAGATGTGTTTTTGATGCTGATGATCCAAAAAAAAACAATAAAAAAAAAACAAAACACGTTGGCAGAGGAGCAGTGTTGTTTAAGCGTTACGTTACTTTAGGCGTTACTTTAGACGTTACAATTACGATTACGATTACGTTGATAGGTTATTTGTTGTTGTTGTTGTTTTTGTTTTTGTCTTAGGAACAGTGGCAGCGTTGGGTTAACTATGTGTACGTGTATTGTATTGGGCTAAGGAAAACTATTAAAACAAAAAAAGAGATAAACTAAAACAATCTATCTTCTAGTTGCGTTCTGTGTGCGTCACGTTACGTTGCGTTGCGTTACGTTACGTTACGATCGTTACGTTATTGTTGCTGCGCTGCTGCTGCTGCTCCCACCCGCAAATATATCTCGTTCTCTTTCTTTTTCCCGTTCTCGTTCTCGTTCTCGTTCTCCGTCTCTGCTCACTCCTTCGCTTCGTCGTCTTCCTCCAGCAGCAGTGGCAGCTAATGGACCAGCAACAAAATATAAAAGTAACTGATGATAGTTGCGTAGTTTTATATTTTGCTGTATGTTAAGAAAACGATGCATTTTCCTCAATATGCGACAACATTTTCGCCAAGCAGTTTTGGTTGCTTTTCTTCTTGTTGTTGTTGTGGTTGTTGTGGTTTTTGTTGTTGCGGCTGCGATCGTTTCATTTCATCGCCGTGCAGTTGTTCCAGTTCCAGCAGTTGTGTTTCATCTCACTGCGTTCCACGGCACGCGCGCTTTGCCAACTACCGTTACGCATGATGCGCGCGCGTCTCTCTCTCGCTCTCTCTCTCCTCAGTGTTGCAAAACGTTGAAATTTGTTTCAAATTGAGATTTCGGCTTATTTGCAAAACTATCTGTTTGTGTTTCTTTTTTTATTTTTTTGTTTGTAATGCTTTTTATTGTTTGAAGGGGTCTGCAAGAAAAAAGAGATAGAACAGAGAGAAATGGTAGAACATAAATAAACGAGGCTTGAATGCATTAAACGTAAGATAAAATCATAAATCTAACGAGTTAACTAAAACAAATAAACAAATTAATAAATAATCAAACTCGAGATGCTGTTTATGAGCGTGCTTCAAGTTGATGTTTTACCAAACTAAAACTAATAAAACTGATCAAAACATGTAGCGTCGTCTCATGCGAAAGTGTTGCGATATCAGTAAATGAGTGCGAGGAGCGAAGAAATGTTGCAAAAAGAGTAATGCTACAATATAATTGCTATTTACTAATAACTAATTTAATCAGTTTCTGGTATTAGCTGTTGTTTTTACGGTCTACACGTTGCCTATGCATTAATATTGTATCGCATATTGTACTCAGATTTGATTATTTATCTGTTTAAAATTGCTTATAAATATTTATATTGAAATTTGAGTTTGTAATACAAATAATAAGCAATACATAAGTATAATTTTAAGACTGACGTATTATTAGCAGCAATAGCCCCAAAACACAAAAATGAATAAATTAAATTATTTTAATATCCTTGAATAGACTTTCTCTTAAACATTAATGCTCATAAATTAGAAGGACCTGTTTGAAATGTTGGGCTGAGAGATTTTAAAAGTCAGCTTTTAAATTCCTCTCACAATCTTTGTTTTTTTGCAGATTTAATTTTTCTTTGTATTTACTTTGGCTCATTCTGAATGTTTATTATGCTAATTTAAAATGCGTGGCACGTTTCGACTGTCTTTCTGTTAAATGTAATTCAATTCTCGAGCGTTGTCTTTGTTGCTATGGCTGTGTACATGCGGGTGGGCGTGTCCCACAATGCGACAATGGGACTTCATTAGCATCATGGGCACAACATGCCGACAACAGCTTTCTAAAGTCATTTTAATGCTGCCGTCTATGGACAAGACACGAGAAAGGGGTGTGTGAAAATGCTGCGAAAAATCAATAACAACCCTCAGCCGATTTGGCGGGCGATGGGCGATGGGCAGCGGGCGACGGGGGTGAAGGCGAGTGGCAAGTGGCGAGTGTCGAGTGCCTAGTGGCGCAATGTTGGTTTAATTAAAGCTATGGGTCATTGAAATGGTTTAAAGCGCTGCTCGGCAGTTGAAATATTTTGGCTAGACAAGAGCCGAGAGCCACATTAAATTGAATGGCTTTTTGGCTGTGCATTCGCAATGCTACAACAAATATTCACTTGTGTGTGGTGTGTTTTGTGTGTGTATTGAAACACAGCCTGTTCCGAACACCACAAAACCCAACCCAATCCTGTCTAGCAACTATATTTTACATGTATATATCTATATATATATATATGTTTGCACATAAGTGCCGTTATATATATATATATATATACATATATCCCCGTTGTTTAATATTTGTTATGCATGCACGTGTGCGAATATCCGCCAGTCTCGTCATATCTACATATGTGTATCCTTCCTGTGCTCAGTGTTTCTGTGTCTGTTTCTGTTGCCATGAAAACCCGACTACAGACAGAGTTACAACAACAACAACAACAGCAAATAGCAATAGCAACAACAGCAAGAGTGTTGCATGTGGCAGCCCCGTCAGTCCCCCCATTTTCAATCGCCTCTGACGACCTACAGTCATCCTGTTTGGGCGGTTAACCGTTGTCATCTATGTATCCCAGCCATGTCTGCTACGTCTGTGTGTGTATGTGACTATGTGTGTGTCTATCTGTTGGTCTGCCAATCAAGTAACCACCTGGACAGCATCACATCAGCCTTTTAGCAAACTTGGCTTTAATCGATAAAACGACTAAAAACCAAATTCACTTAAAAGTTCAAGCGACTTTGATGTATTTGCAGACAAGAGTTAAAATGGGCGGTTTTTTAGTGAATAACTGCAAACCAAATTCTCTTTTTACAATTTAGGCTTTTATCTATATATATATAAACAATATATAAATATAGATATATATATATATATATTAATAGCAATTTACCCAATTTAAAGTTATTCTCGGTTGCTGAAAGTACTTGAATCATGTCGTCATTGGCCAGCTAAGGCTGGTACTAATTATTATTGTTTTAAATGAAATAACAAAAGCATCATTTTAATTTCAGAAACGCATTTTAAAAACATAGGTTCTTCCAGACTGTTAAAATAATAAAACTCAAATTAAAAGATGGTATTTTAGAACTCCACAAATTATTAGTGTTCCATTGGGATAATTCGAATATTAATCAGAGAATTGAGAAATAATTCAGGATTTAACATTTCCTTATTTGCATTGACCATCGATGCTCACATTTTCATCATACATAGTCTATTCACAATGAACACTTTTAGTAGACGTTGTGGTAAATGCTGAATGCAAACATTGCCCGACAACAACTACAAAATCAAAGGGCAGACAATCGTCGACTGAACTCTCTCTCATCTGTCGGGACCCCTATTGTAATCGATTCACTTTATTGGCTAGCAAGCTCTTCTCTCGCTCCTAGTGTGTGTGTGTGTGTGTGTATGTAGTGAGTGTGTATACAATGTGTGTACGTTATTCTAATATTCAAAACACACACACGGACAGAGGCCAACAAGTTGGCGGTGCGGCAGTCGAGAGGTCAAACTTTTGCCAGTCTCAGCGCCATTTTGTGCAACTTTTGTTTGGCCTGTACCTCTTTGGGCGGCAAATTGTACATACGCCCCGTTGAGTGGCAGCTGAAACGGTTCTGGCTCAATATTGAATTGAAGTCTTTATCTAAAATGATTTGGCATATTTTACGCAAAAGGGAATTTTTAAATTACAATTGATTATATTTCAGTTAACATCTGGACTATAGCAAAACCCCTATAAATTTGCATACAATTGACAAGGGTATTAAAATGATTTAAGCAATGCTCTTGGGAACTAAACCACAAAAATACACACATTTGGACCAATGATTCGGATCAATGGTCCGACTTTAACTGAGCTTGTTTATCGCACCATTGTCATTTCTAATTGCTAATTAAACGACAACAATACAACTACGAGTCATAGCTGTATACGCTATGCAATACCCTGTACTGGACAAAACAACGTATCATTGAGCAGACCGTTGACCACTTGGGCAAGTCCCCAATTTATAGCTATATATAAAAAAAAATCTGAACGCACATTTGTTTGTATGAATTTGAATTTTACGGATATTCCACAGCCGTTATATTCAGGGTATCCGTTAGTCAAGCATACTCGATGTAAAGCTTAATTGTTTTGCATGCCTGCGGAGGCGTGACACACATTTCCATTGCAAGCCCACTCATTCAAACACACACACACACACAGAGGCAAACACACGCGTGCTGTAGTTGACACAATTACAGAGAGCACAGAGACTTTGACGCTGTTGCTCGCAGAAAACAGAACGCGCTTGTAATCAACTTCAAAAGCAGCACTACTCGCACTTCATGCTTACTCTAAACGCTCACTCTCTCTCTCTCTCTCTACTCTCCTCAATGGGGAGAGAATATATATTTATACATATGTATGAGTCTAGCAACTGACATACGCAAGCAGCGCCGCCAACGCCCACGTTTTTAACATTTTCTTCTTCATGCACAATTTATGTACTTACAGTCTGACAAGAAAGTGTTTGGGCATAGGAAAATATTCATAATTTCTCACTTCTTTCGCAAAAACAAGTATTTTATTATTGACTTTTATTCTAATTTTTCTACTATTAAGCGGAGTTCTTAAAGCTATTTAACAAAATAATGAACAAGATTCATTCATTAAAATAATTGTGAAATTTTAAAAACCCAAACTATACATTCTTTAGACTGTCAAGATAGTCTTTGTACAATGGCTGTTTACAATTTTGCAATTCCCTTTTCGGCCGATCCCGTTAGAATTGAGCGATTTTCTTAATATTTTTATTTGCATTTTGTCTGTGACCATGGTGACCATATTCTGTTGAAATTTGATCGTGCAAGATAATACTTTTTCGCAAAAGAAGTTAGAAAATATAAATGTTTTCCAATGTCCAAGCACTGTCTTGACACACTGTGTGTTTTGGTATTTTC